GGGAACCGGATCCTGGATTTTTATTTCCACTCCCAGGCCCCCGCCCCCGCGCTTTTTTCCGGGTTTCCCGCCGTGGAGTGGCCTCGGACCAGGGGAAATAGCGCGGAAAATGGCCCGAAGTTAGCGTAGCCGGCGTTGTAGTGCTAGGAGTGCCCGATTTTTCCTATTTTTTATCCCGTCTGAGCACGCCGGATACGTCATCCGGGATGACCGGTGGACATGCGCGTCCCGTGTATTAAAAAAGGCCACCGCGCCGAAACGGCCACTTTCGGGCATTATTTATCCCTCGGTTTTATATACTCGCCGCCGCCACCCCCTTCGACAACATCCGTCGGTGCCCGATGAATTTTTCCTATTTTGTTATTTATTCGGCCCGTTCGATAAATCCACCTCGGAATTAATTTCCCGGTTTCCTCGCGCGCACGTGCAGCCGCGCAGGATTTTTTCGGATCGAGAGCACCGTAAGTAGGCGCGCGCCATAAATCCACTTATGGCCGCCGCTCGGTGCATGGATGCATCGCGGCATATATGCGCCTGGAACCGCGAGATGCGTCCGAATAGGCGTGGATCCGCGTGTGTAAGCGAGCATACGTCTATACGTCCGCCGGTCAATTTCGTTTTCCCCGTTTAATCATGCGTCGCCGGGTACGGCCCTGGGCCAGGGGGTGAGAACGCCGAGAGCGGCGCACGGGCGCCCGGTCCCGTGAGTGCGAGAGAGACCGAGCGAGGCGCTTCCCGTGGGTGCGAGGGAGACGGAGCGAGGCGGCCGCGCGGCCCCGGTCGGGCCGTCATTTGTCAGGAGCTGTCGCGCCGCGAGCGTGTTTCTGTTCCAGCGGCGCAGATAGCGGCCCATCCATAGGCCGTTCATCTTTATTCCTTTATATATAGCGGCCCTTGCCCACCCTCACCACCTCGCCCACCCTACACGACTCCCCGAACTCATTTAATTACAACAAACAATTTATTAGGTCCATCCGGGATACGCCCACGGGAGCGCCCGGCCGGAGGGGGGCAGGGCGAGACCCGGGCTCATTTTCGGGGGAAACACCCGACGCTTTGCGCGGCACCGGCGAATCCGCCGCGGAATCCCCGTCGCACCTGGGACGATAAATCCCCCCGCCGATATGCCGGGAAGAGGGCTCCGCCATCTTGCCGGACCGCCGCGGATTCCGTCGAGGAGGAGGTCTCTTCTGGCGGACGTTGATTCCGCGTTCGGGATGAAAAACGCTCCTGGACCGCGATTTATCCCCGCGGACGGCCGCCGAGGGTGGCAAGGCGTAGGGGTTCGTACATTACGGGATGTTTTCTTGTTTTCAAGACTCCGCCATCGACGCGTCGAATCGAGGTATCGAGACGCGGTCATACGTGGGCCGGTCGCGATCGGTATCTCGGGATACCCGGGACCGGACATTCGGTGCCGTCCATCATCTTGGCATTTCTTGGCTGCTCCGCTGGTTGCAGGCAAGGGCCCTTATGCAGCTTATTGTGCAACCGCTCGAGGATCGCCGCTTACTAGGGTGGGGACACTTATGAATGGACGCGGCGCCTCCACCCGGGGGTGTAATGCCCGGGGTATCGCGCGCTACCATCTCACCTGACCCCGAACTTCCGTGGCCGATTCGTTACGCGGCCTTTTATTAATGGCCCCTCTTGCTATCTTAATAGCCGTTCGCTCGGGCTACGCCCGCGGACGCCGCGACGTCTACCGAGGTGGTCGACGTCGACCGACGGGTGACTAGACCTGGATGGAATGTAACCGTACCGAGAGTACGGATATTTAGATACCGCGTCTTTTTTCAAGCCTTATTTCGGAGTGATAATGAAATATATACCCGCGTATGTTGCTGCGACACAATGTATTCCGGAAGGAGCGATATGGAAGGGTCTGCGCGGCGGCCATCTTGGAGAACCGCGCGCCTTATTGGGCTGGGTTTTCTCTCGCAGCCCTCGCGATAGAATCGTCGAGCATGTAGGGAGCATTTGCATGTAGGTAATATCCTCGTACAGTCGCGACCTCCGTTATGCCGTTTCTACCCCTGCTCCTTTATCTGGCCCCCTCGTCGGGTCTGACACCCTCGGCGAACTTTCCCTCCGCGGAGGTGCCTGCCCCGTATCTCGTCGTCAACCCGAGGGGGGTTTACGTATGCATGTGAGGAGGGAAAGAGAGCCCTCCTACGGTGGCGCCTCCACGGAAAGCCAGCGAGTGCTCGAACCACGACTTCAGGTCGGCGAAGACGAGCCTCCGCTCCTTCCAGTAGGTCATAAACCTACCAACCTTCGGCTCGGTTCGCGTACCCTCGCACGTCGTAAACCCCACTGCGTCGCACCTACACGCCGGATACGATCTAATATTATTATCGTAATGCCGTCATATTATATAATATATTGCGCTTTATGCACCGAGGGCGCCTCGTGGTTATCGCGTGCCGGGGCAACGGAAGGAAGGGGCCCGCGGGCTCTCTTTTCAAGGTGAAAAAATGGAAAAAAGGAAGGTAAAGAACCATTCCCCAAATCCTGCGACGCCAAAAATTATAATCACTCCATGAATACTTCCAGGAGTTCGGGATTTTCTGGAGGTGCAGTTCAGGTAAAAAAAAAAAAAATCGAAGAATTCCTGGGAAATGGAGCATTCGCGGTTTCCTCGCGTCGGTAGTTGGGATAAGGTCTGATTGGCGGGGCGATCACTCGGGGTCGCGGCGGGTCGACTCGTGCAAAAATAATAATCAATCGTTCGAGTGCACCGGCCGGTAAGCGAGGGCGCTGCAATTACGCGGTGGCGGCGTGCCTTGCTGCGGTTTCCCGGGCCCGCTATCCCGACAGGGCCCCTTAATTCTTCCTCCTATCATAACTTAACGGGCCGGACTCCCTCGATTTTATTATTAAAAGTTGAAACCCCGACGGGGGAACCGGCGGCGAGGCTGCGGCCGCCCCTCCGCGTCCTCGCCCTCTTCAGGGTGCATCGCACTCGAAAGGCTCTCTGGACCTCCGGTTTCTCCGGTTTTTGCAAACTCGTACAAACGTTTATACGCCCGCCGGGGACGTAGCTGGTAGCGGCCAAGTACGTATGCAACCACTTCCCCCCTCGGACGCGCAATTATCTTGCAATTTTCTCGGCACCGCTCGAAGGGCCCGGGCCCGATCAGTGGTTGCCAGTTGGGCTTTCCTCGGGGTTTACGAATTTTGGGCCTCGACGGGACTCCAAATTTCTTTTTTTTTTTTTTTCCGTGAGTCATTGGATTTTTCTTGGTCAGGCGCGAATTTTATTTCTCGACTTTACTCTGGAGGGAGGGGCGGGGGCAGCGCTGCAGTTGCAGCCCCGAAAGTGGTGCAGAAACGCGGGAGGAGCGAAACCGTGTCGCGCCCCGGCTCGGAATTCGGATGAATGGGGCGAAGAGTTGGGGGAAATAAATTGGACACCAATTGGCATGCCCCGTTCGAGTTTATAGAATAAACGGCGAGACGGGGAGCAACTGGTGAACGCGATCGAGGCGTTGGAATCATTTTTATACGCCCTGAAACCCGCAGTTATGCGCAATAACTCGCGGGACTTATCGCCGATAGGGTCTCCCCGCGAAGGAGAAATATCATCCGTGCGATAATTCGTTATCTTCGATATTTTTTTATTACTTTTTAACCCGGACGGATACTTGGCATCGGGGAAGAAGGCACTCGAAGCCTCCCCGACGAGGCGACCAAAAAGGGGAAAATTGAAACGGCACATCCCATCAGTGGTTGATTACGAAACAGCCTCGATCGAATTTACATACCGCCCGAAATAAGCGACAGCGTATAAATTTGAATCTAATTACGCGTCCCGCGACGCCACAATTTTCCCACCTTGCGGCCTAATCCTTAACTCTTCCGGGGATCGGCTATCCGAGGTGTATCTTCACCTGTCAGAGGACTTAACGAAGCAATTAAAAACTCCAAGAGTCCATTACATGTCCAGCAAACAGTCCTGGGCATACTGAATAGACGAACAATGGTGGACTTTATCGTTTTATCATCGAAAGGAGACACGAGGGAGAGTCGAGACCGAAAGCCGGATGACGCCCGATTCAAAATGGCGGCCGGGGAGACTTTTTTCGCGTCTCAACGCACTCTTCGGGAAATAACCGCGATTATTGTTAAGCAACAATGGTCGCCCGGGGGCGCACGCAGGTCGAGGCGATCCTCGACACGCGATTCCCGGGGCCCGTTTTCGGGGGGCCCAGGGGACGTCACTCTTTTTGGGCCTTCGTGCCTCTCGTGAGGGCCCGAGACGAGCGAATTCCTCCGCTGTAAACGTCTCGGGGCCCGAAATGCAGCGCGGTGCACTCTCGCCGATGCACCGAAGGGCGAGGACTCCTCCCCCTCTGCATCCCTCTTTCCCTCGATATGCGTCGCCGCGCGTTTTACGTATTATGCTAAACATGCGAAAATGGGTTTTTAAACAGAACATCTACATTTATGTAGTCAGCGAGGGCTCGGGGATGAAACTGCGCCCTAAATTAAACGCAATTTTCGTCCGGGAGCATGCATAGCAAATCGTTGATCGGGGGAACGTCTTTATACATGGAAACCCACCGAAGGGGGGGGATGACCGGGGAGGAAAATGGTTGTTTCGTCGCAGGATCGCATCGGCGATTACGTCCCAATTATTTCCCTGGCATAATGCGACCCCTGGATAACTTTCGGCTCTAACCGTGGACGCGGTCCCAGGAGTCCCAGGACTCGCGTGCTCGAGGGGTTGCAGGATCGAGTCTCCTGCACGGAAAGACCGAGTCCTGAGACGGGGGCTAATTATGGTTTTTTTCCCCTTTTCTCCTGCACCCCGGGCCCGCTTTGACGGGCACGAAAAAAAAAAAACACGTATGACCAAAATTTCGAACGTTACGCGGATTTCGGCCGATCAGCTGATTACCTTCTAGATGCACTGTGTTAAGCACGCTTCTAACGAAAAATTTGTACCTGTTTGTTTCATGTACCCCTGTGATCTGCGGATGTGGACTCGTACATAGGACCCGTCATCCGTGAGTACCATGAAATTTGGTAGAAAAGAATTATGCAGAGAAATAATTATATCGTGATATCCTATTTATTTCTGTTTCATGTTTCCTGGGTGCTGTTCACGGTGACTCGACTTCCTTGTATCAGGGTGTAAGTGTTTGTTGGATATAAGTGTCTGTAAAATTACTCGGTGGAGTGATTTAAGTAATTTAAGGAATTTAAAGCGATTAGGAGATCAGGCCGTAGTCTCGTTTGATGCGGGGAAAGTTGGATTACGCGAGGGGTGGAGAGGCAGGGCCCGAATCGTTCGATTATTAATACGATCCGATGGAACGATAAGTGACGTCTCTATAGTAAAAGGTGGACGGCGTCCCGACGGGGGTCCCAGACGTCGTCGGAGACATCAGCGCCGCGGGCGGCCATTGTCTCAAGCGGGCCCGCCCGAACGAGGGGCAACCTCGCTGACACGCCGAGGGGGTCCGCGCACCCCGTGGAGGTTCTCGAAATTAATAACCGGAATCCGCAGAGGGGCCCGGGCCCGATCGTCGCGTCGGCCCTCCAGGGGCCCGGTTCCCCGGCCCGGAATTATGTGTCGGGCCCCGAGCTTACAGATTTTCTCGCGCGAGGCCCGCCATCTTGGGGCCCCACGGGACCAGAAGCCGTGGACGGGATGAATTATTCAGGGGTGGACCAGTTTCTTTCCGTACGAGGGTGATTCTACTTTTCTTTCGGCCGAAAACACTCGCGCGAGTGGTTCACGGTGTGCCGTGAAATGGCGATTTTTACCGGGCCCCGGATTTTCGAAATCGCCATCTTGGGGCCCCATAAGGCTCCAAAACTCAGGCAAAATGAGATAATAAACAGATAGACCGAATTCTTAATTCGCGACAGCCATTCCGTCGCTTTTGCCCGAATTTTCTTTCAACTTTCTTGTCAATGGTTTACGAGATACCGCGGAAGAGCGAGATCCACGCGTCGCGCCGCCATCTTGGAGAACCAGAAGACGCCGCGCGGCAGCTAGAAGCTGAGCTATGGAATAAGCGTATAAATTATTAATGCAAACGCCGCTCGGCATGACGGGGTGAAACATGGCGTGCGTCCCACTCCGTGCGATTAATACCGCCGATAAAACTGCGCCCGAATGTTTTGCCTCCAGGCCTCGGAGACATTTTTATAACTTGTTTACACGCTTCCATGCTCGGCAAACTGACGCGCCGGATTTGTGCCCCGGCTCGTTCCTCGGAGGTTAAGAGGCGACATCTCGCAAAATCTTCGCTTTGAAACCACCACCCCCTGGAAAAATCCTCTCGATTTAAATGGACAGTTTCGCCGAGGACGGATAAAACTCCCTAATGAAAAAGTATCTCTCTGAAAGGAGAACTCCTCTTTCGGGGAGCCCGCGAGAAATTCGCACGAAGGCCGGCCTCGGCCCTCTTGCTCGTCTTCTCCCTCCGCGGCCGTTTTCAGGGGGACAATTAAAAGCGCGCAACGTGGACATTTATGTCCGCACTAACTGGCCATTAAGACGAAGGAACCACCTAACCGGGAAAGATGTAATTGGACGACGCGCTGAATCCGCAGCTCATAAAACTCAGCGGGCGGTTCTCGCTTCTTCCACCTCTCGGCGCGTCAACCCTTTCGCGATTTTCGCGCGACCCGCCATTGCGCGTCGGGTTAACGACGTCATCCCCCACGGTGTCCCGGAAACAGAATCCCCCATAAAACGGAAGAAATGATTCACCCCTTTCCGCGAAAAAAAATCACTTTTCCGTGTTCCTTCATTTTTTCTTTTTCGGATTTATTTCCCTTCAGTTCCGCGGCCATTTTAATTCCGGCCAACGGACTCCTCGAAAAGGACGAAGGACACGACGAAACTCGACTAGGATTAAGATCGTGCCTGTCGCACCGAGCTGGCACGACACGCACTCGAATCCGTCCGATTGACGTCCGCGTGCGTGACGTCCGCGGCCAAGAACGCGCGGAGCCGATGCGCGGCGCCGCGACGCATGCACGCGGATCCGCCACAATTATCCTGATTAAAAAGGACCCGCTTTTCAGCCCTGATAATTAGTCCAGCCGAGGAAAATTGCGTGTCACGATTAAAGGAAAAGGATAATATAGTAATTAGGAGTTTCATCCCCGAGGGTGTTGTTTGTATACATTATTTTCTTTCCTTCTTTTTCTTTTTTAACAGGGAATTGTTGCATAGAAAATTCGGACATAACACCGTTTATCAATATTTATGGGAGGAAGAAGCTGACGGGTCGCGAGTCGCTAATTTGCGTCGTCCATGGCGGATTCCGCGCCCCCGTCCGATCGTTCCGCGGGCGTTCCGTCGCGGAAAATGATCGGGCTTGCAATTTCGCGTGATTGGCCTCGGAATTAGCCTTACAGGAGAAAAAGGAGCGGACACGCAACCGTCCCTCGGCGTCGCGTCGGAGGAGCGGCCAGGATACGCTCCTTTACACCCTCTCCCGATCATCCCGCGGGAGAGATTGTTACAAAGTAACCCACAAAGTAACGCAGGACGAAGGGACACCTCCGAAGGAGGCCCCGCACCTCCCCGCTCGTCATTTCCCATGCAAATCGGGCCCAGGTTAATTGCCCGGCATTATGCTAATCTAAATAATGACACGGCGACGTACAGCTGCTGTAATGAGCGTCATTGGGTATCGCGAATGGGATGTAATTTGCCCCGGCTGCCCGAGAGGGCCCGTTTCTTCGATTTTCACGCGCCGAATCGTACGCGATACACCCTGAAGAGTACACGATGATAAGAGGCCCCATTATCGCGGGGGGTACCTCGGGACTCCATGGGACCACATCGGGCCATATACTCTGTACGTTTCTGAGATACCCCAAAACGTGTTGAATTAAATCACACATAAAATCCTGGAAAATTCCCAGGCTCTCGGTGAATTAATTAATTAATTTCCTCATTTTTCTTTCGTTTTTAGAAGTAATCCAGAACGAGTTAGATCGTAATTATATACGAAGTCTTTGAAACGTTCTAGGCTTCCAGGGAAGATACGGATTCTCTGAATTTTTGTGTTGAGATTTATGTTTTTCTTCTGGCAGGATTGAAGGAACGATTTTCCACGAGGGAGGGTCTTCCCGTAGGAGATTGTTCTCGGGGCCGGTTCGCTTAATGGGCGCCATGATGCGCAATAAAGGTCCAGCCTCCGTGAGCGTACCCGGTACTTTCGGTCAAAATTGAGCTATCGAGCGGAGGTGTGTTTCCAGGTCGAAAGCGCCTCGGCGAAGCTCGCTAGGGTTTGCTAATTGGAAGGACTTGGTGTCGTTGCGGGCCCTACAAGGGTCCTGGGCAAGAAGCGCTAAAGCTCGCGTATAAAGGCCTCCTCGATAGGGATCTGAAATATTATGTAAATAGAGGTGGCCCGCGCGCGGTTAAGCGCGATCCCTGAGCTTTCAGCGGGCGCAAAACGGCGACGTATAAAAAGCGCATAAAATAACATTTAGCGCGCGCTTAAACGAAATTGCCGTAATCCCGCGCGGGAGCCCGCGAGAGGGAGGGAGAGAGAGGGCGGAACGGCCGGGCCGGGGGTGCGAGAGAGAAGCGGATGGGGAGAAATGGGCTCGACCGAGGAAAGCGAGAGCGAATGCGCCGCCCTTTCCCTCTACGGTGGCATTAACATACCGATTTACATAATGCGTATAATTCGAGTAATTATGAAGGGAAATATACACAATTTAATATAATGGCGGATGTTTAGGGGAACCCGCCTATCTGCCAAGCGAGATCTTCCGCTCCGTTCTATATGATACCGTTGCAGGTGCGGTTCAACGGGCCAGACGATGCACCTTCGGGAATCGTCATCGTTTAGAGCCGAGATGGAACGATTCCCCGAAATTTAGCTTTCTGCCGTGAAAATGAAATATTTCCCTGAGATATGTATTAATTTTTCGACGCGCTCAATAGCCGACACGCCGAAGAGGTGGGAACCGCTATCGGCGTGAAAAATCAGGTTGCCGGTTTCCCAACGAGGACTGCATATGTAAAACGAACCCCCAATTTCTGACACGGACATCGTTATTAATTATCTCCCCTCGGGATAGAAATTTGAATTTCTAACGCGAGGCCCGGCATGGGCTGCATCCTTTGTCTCCGCGGCTCTTCTCCGGTGACGATGCACATCCCGGCTGGTTTCACCTGCCCGGGTCCGATAAACACGACCGGCGGTTTAATGTATTCAAATTTAATATCGTCGAGCCTAGTTGATGATTTCACTGCCAACTTTCGAGGCCTTCGCTTCTTAGTTCGTTTTCCACCCGTTCTCCTCTCGTTCTCCACGATTGCACCGTGTGGTACCTCCCTGGTACCCACCCGTGCAAACCTGGTACCGGATCTTCAATAAATCAGGTCGCAACTCCATAAACCACGTTCCGGGGGTCTCGAATTTTCCCTAATTCCCATTTTCTGCGGTCGTTGAATTTTTTTCAACCTTCTTCGGGTGGGAAGCAAACCCTGAAGGGGTGGCGCACGATTCGTGACATTTAATTCGTCCGTGAGGTCCGTGCGCGACAGGCCCCGTGCACGTCGGACAGAGGGGTCGCCCGTTCGCGTATCTCAAGATCTATCTGAATAATAACGTGTACGACAACATGTCAAATTATACAGAACCGCGGACGCACACGTACGACCCACGGCACCTTGGCCACACTCACGCGACGCCTCGCCCGAGCTCTTAAGGGTCAACTTGCCTGGTGCACGTACTGGACACGAGTGCAGTCCCCTTGCAGAGTCGGCCGACATGTGTTAATGGCGGCGACATTACGGTTTTACTTCATAATTGTCGCCGATACGACAGGGGAGTCCGCAGGGTCCGAAGTGTCCTCGCGCGCCTCTTCAGGGTTGGAAAACCTTGTCGAGAGTCGTCTTCCGGTTTAGGGGCCGAGTGGATCGCGACCGCCTTAGTTCTTGATCGTGATGGATCACCTGGGGTTTCAAGAAGGTACTTGGTTTTCGAAATGACCCCGATTCGCGTCCCCGGAATGAAAGGTGAACGGATAAAAGAAGACAGAGTGGGCCAAACGTTAGACTGTCCCAACCACTTTGAGTAATCGCGATGGCGTCTACATGGGAGTTAATCTAACCAGGTCTAATTTGTTCTGTTTCATGTCGCGTCGACCCCCTGGACCACCATCTGGAACCTCAGTACGTGAGTACATCAGTTTCTATCGTTCTCGATTGCGTCTTTGGTACTAAGTAGCCCGTCCTAGCTCCTCCACTTTCTCCGGATTGCAAGAGCGAAGTCTTCGGGCACGTCTATCCTTGCACGACGGCGCATCCAGGCCGGGTTGCATCCCAAACGAGCGGTGCATCCCGTCCAATTACGGCCATTACGTAAGCCGGCCATAGAGGGCCCTTTTGCGGCGCTTTCGTCGACGATAATGGCGCGGGCTATTAGCAATACGTATATAACTCGAGTGAAGATTTCAGCGGTTTCCTGGAGTCCGGGTGAGTCGGGACGGGGAAGGGGTCGGCACACCCATCGGTTTTGATGGTGCCCCCGGCTCGGCACATTTCAATTACCTCGGCGGTATCGGCCTGTGATGTTGGCTGCCGCTCTCATTATGTGGAATACGAGCTCGTGCTAGGCGTTCTCCTCCCGGTTGCTACCTTTCGCCGGGTCCAACACCCGGAACACGTGAAGGCATACACACCGGGCCGGGTGTATCCCGGCGGCCTGGGCCTGCAGATACGCTCCCCGAATTTCCGGCGCGATCATCCCCGGCGCAGCTTACCGAACATCCTCCGGCTACATCGCCGCTGATGAGATTATCCGCCACGAGGCTCCCACTCTGCTGCACAATTTCCTTGCTGGGGTGGGTGGCTCTTCGATCCGGAGCGATGCCCGGTTCCGCGTGGACCCAGGACCAGCTCCGGCACTCCCTGGACCGGTCTTCATGATTTGGACCCTTGGATGAGATCCATCGCCAACGGGGTTCTTTGCCTGCTGACGGAGGACCTTGGTCCCCATTTCCTCAGATCAGCGATGACCAATCTTTGTCTCAGTCTTGATCTTACACGGTCCTGGTCTTCTAAATTTCGTCGAGTCCAGGTCTTGCGAAAATGCAAATCAACCCTGATTTCACCGCAAAAAGACTCTCTTGATCCATCTCACCCTGAGAAAAAAAATTTCTCTGTACCAGAGAACTATTTCTGTGGTTTATTGATTTTTTTTCTCAGGGTTGATATCCCAGTATGGTATCAGAAGATCGTCTCATCAGGGACCACGAATTGCCGAAGACGCAGGTGACGTCGAATTTGGTCCATGACGATCGAGGCGACCTCAAAGGTGCTTCGTCCAGGCCACCTTACAAGCCGGGACACCATACGGTGTCGCCGGGTCGTTATGGCCGTCCAGCGATTATTGGCCGTATGGTGGCCGCCTTGTACGCCTCTGGACGCGTATGATCCCAGGACCGGCCATGGGGTCTCTGGATCCCGGATCTAGAGTGGCTACGCGGCTTCACTTTGGGCTTGGGGTTAATACGGTGGCCGGTGATGCACGGCCGACGCAACGCTGCGGCCAGTGGCTGACCGCACGCCAGCTGTTCGCTGCACGGCTCCGCAAAAATGCCCTGTTGACCCTTGCCCTGCGTCCCTCCGGCTGCTCGACCTCCACATCTCGGCTTAGATTGGACGTCGGAGTCGGAAATGGCCCGGGACCTCCAGGGTACGAAGTAGTTGAATGATAAACCCGGCAGGGAGTGGTACCAGCTCTAAGTGGTACCGCTGATGGCGCTGGTACCCCTGGTACCACTGGTTCCCCCGGTACCCTGAACCGTCAATTCACGACGATTGACCTCTTCCTTCATCCCCGTGCACCTCGAAGGACGTCATCTGCCGGAAGAACCCGACTGGACCGATCGGAGGCTGATGAATGGTCCCGGACTCGGCACCCGAGGCGCAATCTGATTAACCCTCGCAACCGGGACCCCGAAGAGCTCCGATCGGTCCGTCTTCGCTCACTTTCTGGCCTGATCGGCTACTAGGCACGGTTTGATTGGGTCGGATGTTCCGATGAACGCTTCCTGGGGAGAGGCTGCCTCTCAGAGTGGACCTTGATGGGCGTACACGAAGAAGTGGTAGCGAAGGCGCTTTGTTTATAAATGTTGCCACGGCAGGTGTAGACGCATAGAAATATACGTCTCTCTTGGGGTAGTTATATGGGGAATTTTTGTTAATCGATCGGGAGCGATGAATTCGTTGCAAATATGGGCGGCACGCCTCGCGGCGCAAATGGCGTCTCTTCGGGGCATTAAGTCTTCCTTCCACGTCGACGGCCCCGCGGTAATTGTGTTAAATGAGTCGGTTACGTATGCGAGTCCAGGGTCCTGCGTGCACCGTCGGACACGGGTGTAAATAATAGAAGCCCCGGCCTCCTCTGCTCCACGTGGCGCGGACAAAAAAGAACGTGCCAAGCTTTCAATTGCGCGCCATCTTTGCCGACACGACGCCAAGCGTCTTGCGACTACTAATTCACTATTCGGTGATTCATTTGTCAACCGACAATTCGGTCGGGCCCGCGATTAGTCTTCGTGGAGACCCCGAAGAGGAGACGAAGCGCCCCATGAACACGGTACCCCCGATATTCCGAGTATTGTCCGCCATTTTGGAGAACCTCCTTCGTATTCCGAGCGCAGTTTCACTCCTCGCGAAGAATCGGTTCCTTCGAAATGACGCCGTGGACGAGTCGGCGAGCCTTCGGGAATATTAATCTGGACTCGTAGCAAGTACATGAAATGATTGAAAATGGAGGGGTGACCAGGGCGAAGGGTCCTGGCGAAGCTGGAGCGGAGGATCGGAAGGATCGTCGTCCTCGTGGGACGGACTCCCGTAAGGACCGGCCATCCTCTTCGGGTGCCCCATCGACGAGCGTGGTCTCGGCAGGGGATTTAATTGACCCAGAAATGGAGAAAAAAGGAGGTGAGCCTCCCCATAATGGCTCTTTTCCTTTCCCAGCTCCTTCCTCTCCTTCGCTTATGGATTTAATACGTAAAACACGGCGAGGCAGTGAACCCTGAATTAAACCCGCACCTCAGGCCGGAAGATAAGTGCGCGCATCTTTGCCGGGAATTTCCTCCCGCTCTTCGCGAGATTGCCGAAGAAGAGGTCGAAGAGGGCGCGACAGTCCTCCGAGGCTTTGTCCGCTGCGATCGCGGGGCGAGGCCTCACCAGGTGGCCGAAATCCTGCGGCTGGTCAAGGACCATTACTCCCGGTGTAGGGGATTCCGAAGTCCCTCGTCCTTGAAGACGAGGCGCACGTAATCGCGTCAAAAGAGTGACCTCCGCAAGAAGATGGCGCGCCAGGGGGCGGACGGAGTCTCGTTTAATAAAGCATTAAATCCGGCATTAAACCCACCGACGTCGGCGGCGCCTCAGTGACAACGATACCCATTGTCCGGCATTGTGGTCAGTTGAGGGTGATCGGCTGGTTGGAGGGACCCATCGGGTCCGCTTTGCCCGGTTTTACGGGCGCCCCCGCACGAGTCCAACAATGGCGCGTCTCTTGCAGGGGACTCCCTTGGTCGTCGCGGTACCAACATCCAATTTGCATTGAGCCAGACCCACGGTGGACAAGGTAATTGGTACACAGTAGGGATTAGGCTCAGGACGGAAGACGACGAATGGCCGCGTTTCCTGCTCGGCCGCACAAACGCGGCTGGCCCCAGAAGAACCGCCCGAAGGACCCTCCGAAGGACCCCCCGAAGGACCCCCCGACGACGTTGGAAGACCTCAGATCTGAGGTCGGATATCGGAAGCGATGGTTATTTTCAGTCTACGGTGGCGTTTCTCGGCACAAGGAAGACGTTTTGGGAACGCAAGAGGCCAAGTTGGACTCCATGGGGACCGATGATGAATTTCATTCCCGGAGATCGGCCGTGCACGTCGGACGGTACTAAACGGTCCCGCGGGTCGAACGGCCTGGCGGTAACATATATCATAGGAGGCCGTCGCAAAAGGATGCGACGTCCTCTCAGGGAAACCGCTGTGAGATTAGTATGCTCGTATCTGCATGCCGCGAGATCGTATCTTGCCGGAGAGCGGCCCTTTGTGGGTTTTTGTTTGCGTTGGTACGTATTTATGCGAGTGTCTTCCAGCTCTCTGCCTTTGGGCCCCGGCCGGCCCTCGAAGTGGCCGAGGCGACCCCGAAGAGGAGGCCTCCCCGGCACGTAGCCGAGCCAGGAACCGCTTTATCGCGGCTATCCACCGGCACAAAGAGGCGACCCCGTCGACAAAGACGAGCGCCGATTCCGCGGGGAGATTCCGGTTTCCCCGCAGAAATTTCCCGGGACATACGGGGAGCCGTCCTCGGGGAGTGGCCGCTCGCCCACGGGAAGTGCATCCGACATCCACGGTACCCTCGTTCCGGTCGGCTCCGATGCAAATTGGACCTTCGAGGATTCGACGTCTCGATGTAGACCGACTCGCGCGATCGTGTTCCGCCGGCGGACAGGGGAGGGACCGGCCGGGACCCCGAAGAGACCTCTTCCACCGATGTCTCTTCTTTTTCTGGCCCAATTTATTTGGACCTCCCCACTCCGAGGGCTCGTCCTAAAATCCCCGATCCACCTCGCCGATATGAAACTACATCGACGGTATCCCGCAAATTCCAAAATTAAATCGGAATTTTAACCGAACGCGTAATTTTCAGTATTTAGTTTGGAATTTCCTCTTTCGACTGTCATCCTTAGGACAACGAAGGTTGGCCAGGGTTCCACTGAAATATTTTCGGTACCCTGAAATTTTAGAGGAATTTTTTTATTTATTCTCGTTTTCGAGATCTTTGAGCGTACCCCGAACAGGAAGGGCCTCGTTTAAAGGGCGGCTGACCAATGTCTCCGGGCGCTGGTAGCGGGCAGTTTCAATTTCGTAACGCCAATCCAATCATGTAAATCAGGGGAGCATTATTAGAGCGGGCAATCGAATCCTCCTAGGCGGAGAGGTCCGCATCCCCGACCGGGACGAAAGGGGTAGGTGCGCATATATATACAGCGCCGACTAATCCCAGGTTTACCTAATCGCCTGCCCCCTTCCCGCCAGCCCTCCTCGCGTTCCTCGTTCCCATCGCTCGTTCCCAAAGCAGCTTACAGTTTCACCCCTTCCGACCCTTACCGAGCGCCAGCCCTGCGCGCCGTTCGATCCGCGCCAGTCACGAGCGATCGATCGATCGATCTGGTCCCACCGACGAGCCGTTCCCTCGACCCACCCCCGCCCGATATTCCGGGCTCCGGTCTCTGCAAAATCCCCGAAATGTAAAAAATGCGACTCCCGTGTCCGCCCTCGCGACATTTATGGACTTGAGCGCGGATCGAAATTCCCGAATTGCACGAATTGCACGTCGGTGAAATTTTCTTCGACGGCCCTGGGATATTCTTATAGAGTGGTGGATATTTTTTACGGGGTATAGGAAAGTTCGGGAGGCCGGGGGAATTTTTCTAGATTTTTGGAGCGGAAGTTGGAGAAAGACGCGCTCGCAGATGGCGCCGCGTGGGCGCCATATTGGCGTCCCGCGAATATCCCGGGCAACAGGTAAAAGGGGTAAAAAGCCACAATTTATCGGCGGGCGGGCTGAAGGCGGAGGACAGGCATTTCGCGGCTGGTTTTTGAGGCCGATTGCGTTCCGCCCGAACATAATGGCGCGCTCCAATAATTCCGGGCCAGAAGGCGGAGCGGCGCACCGTCGCGTCGAACGAAAGCGTAAGCCGTGTAATCCGCAGTGAAATATAGCGGGCCGTCGAACGCCCTGGAGAACTTTGCGCGCCGGGACGCCGATTATTCGACGGACGCCCGATTTAATCGGCCGAGTAATCGCGGGGGCCTAACTGCGGGGGTACTAACGCGGATCCCCCGGAAACTCGTCCGGAAGTCCCGTTTCCGGGTTTTTCGAGATGCCTTGTACCTCCTCTAAAATCTAGACCTCCAGACACCCGGAGCGTTTATTGGAAATATCTTTTAGTGGATGCTGTTTATTCCTGCGAGATCCGAAGAGACGCGAGACTTGCGGCTCGTTTTTCGCTAGTTGTTCATCGGCGGATACGGCAGCCGGAAATCGCGTAGCCGAGGTCTAAAGCACCGTGGAAAACGGCGGACCACGTCCTTTCGCATCGGCAAGGCAAATAAAGTGTCCCGGGAGGTACCGGGGAGTCGCTCGTCGGACCCGTTCGCATGGGGACGGCTACTCAGTGGGCCGAGTGAATCAGAGTGATGGGGCTTAATGGCCGACTGATGGCAATGTCTTGTCGCGTCGCGGCTCGTCGAAGCCACCTGGCCGGCAATGAGTATCCGCGTTAAAGTCTCGGGACCGCCTGCCGTGTCGCGACAAGCGGTTCCACGATTTACATCCGGGGAACACTCGGCCGGTTTGCGCAACCGGGGAAGAACGGCGGGTGAAATCGCACAATGACGGAATCGCGTCGATTAGAAGGCTTTGGTACGGGAACTGAGCAAATGAAATTATGGCTCGCCCCAAAAAGAAAAGATCACTTGACTGGAAGGAATATATAATTGCCCGAATCGTATACAATCGCAGAAAGAGAGAGAAGAGATCACGGACTTCAAGAAGTGCGCAGTTGATACCGAGGATTTCAAGGAGTTCACCCGGAGAAGAGTAAAAGCGAAACGGAGAAGAGACGCCCAATGCACGCTTGACATCAATCCCGCTTAATACCTGGAATTTCATAATTTCATTCGAAGATGGAAAAGTGAATTCAACGCAGAGAAGTGAGACAATGGGCCAGCTCGTCCAGGTCGAGTAAGTCACACCTCGTTTGCGCGGCCGGCAATCGGCAGCGACTCCGGGTTCCTGGATCGAGGAAACGGTCTTTCAATCTCGGCGATCCCTCGGGATAGCATTGTGATGTGGTCCCCGATAGCGGAGATACCGGAGGCGGGGTCGGGCAATTGAATACCCAGGAATCCTTAGCGCGGATCGCGCGACCCCGGCCCGACCCGGCGAAGAGGTGCGTTTACGAGGCGCGATGGACGCGCCACCGGAGAACGAGGGCCGAATAAATCACGAGGCACGGATCCGCGTTCGCATAATGACACACCAGGCATCCTGGCGAATTATAGTCCTGAAGGATCCGGCTGGAAATGTCGGGTTAACGCGCCGATACTCGCGGATTGCGTCTTCCTGACGACTCCTGGCAAAGAGGAAGTACCTGGTCAGCGGGTATTCAAGCGACTAAAATAGGATTTGATGGGTTCTAATCGGTTCTAATCGGTATCGAACCCCAACAATAAGTAGTGGATGAAGTGTCTGGAGATAGACACTTGGACCCTTGGTCGCAGTAGGGACGAAGCATCTTCCTGGGAATCCTGGACGAGGCAGCGCGCGCCCAGCTGATCAGCAGGCGAGTACACGCGTCGGTGAGCACGCGCCGATAGATCTGACATCGCGACGCCCGACGTCGGACGCGTGACCGGAGGTTCGTAGCCGACGCGGCATCCTCCATCGGAAGGCACGCGCAACCCTCATGGATCGATTCCTGGAAGAGTGGGATCCACCACAGAGGAGACGTCGATCAGCTGAGTCGGGATCGACTCCACCTTTCTGGAAGAGGGACCACCTGGCGCCGTGGGTTCACCATGAGGAGGTCCCAGAAATTCTCCAAATAGGGTTTCCAACCGTGAAGAGGAAGGGCGTCCTGGGTATATCGGGCAGGAAGGTCTTCAGGGTGTGGGGATGATTTAATTTCGGTGGAGAGGCGGAGACGGAGGTTGAGAATCCGGGACTTCCACGGGAGGTTTTCGGAATGCCGAAGAGGACCCCGCAGAGTGGGAGGCGCGACCTCGGGAGCCCGGCGCGACCTGGAGCGGCCTCGGGAAAAATGTGGAGCGGAGCCTCGGGAGCGGGCATACCAGCCGGAGTCCCACGGGAGCTCGGCTAAGAGGATGCCCACTAAATATTGTGTTTCGCGCAGAGAATACAGGCCCGGGACACGTGTAAGCGGGGCCGCGGGATTCCGTATGAGCAGATCGGCCCGCCGATTATACGCTAATTCAACGCAAATTCCTTCTCGGAGATATCTGTATCGCTCGCATACATCAGCCGCCGCGGTAGCTGGCGGAGCGCGGCACGACCCGTTTAATCAGTACCGGAGACAACTATATACGTAGGTAGCTACATAGTTTAGTGCGTGCAAGTCGGGGATACGTGCGGGGACGGTCTCTAACCCAAACCCTGAAGTACTCCCAGACTGGCCCGAATCGGCGGGGCGAGGAACTCGGCTGATCTTATTGCCTCCACCCAAATGAACCACCATCGAGTGCCACCACTATAGCTGGACCCAGGAACCCGAACCCTGGATTTTTTCCCTAGATTTGCCGATGATCGAGTACAATGTTTCCCCTTTGGTCTGGTCCAAGGACTGGTCGCGCTATCAGCTGCTGGACGCGTAATCCGCAGCTCGTTGGCGTCCCTGGATTGACGCTTCGTTTCTCTTAATCCCGTCTTCCTGGCGGAGAACGGTATTTCGCTGGTAGACGCGGTGCGGAATTTATCAGAGTATTAGCCTCGGTTTCACACGGCGCTGGTCGGTGTTGCTCTCCGTGGGATACCCACGAGCATGGGGAAGTTCCAGGGTGCAAGAGGTGCTACCAGGCCCGCCTCGGCTACCAAAAGGGCCGAGGCTGCGCGGAGATATATCATGGTGTCCGCCGACATACCATTCTTTTGCGGCGCGAACTGGCCGACAGCCTCGCAGTATTCACAAATTAAGGAGCGCCAAAGTCTGCACCATGGCCAGGAGCCCCGGGTAGGTGCTATCGCGCTTCATAAAACTTCGTTAGCCCGGGCTGGAAGTAGCGGACTGCGGAGAATCCGTTCCGCCCGACCCGGCGAGGATCCTCCGCTCCCTCTTCGGGACCGGGACTCCACCCTGTGGCATCCTCCGAAAAAAGGAACCTCAACTTCCTGGACCCACGGCGACTGGCGATAGGCAAAGTCAATGTGGGGTTACCAAGATTTTCGATCCGTGCACATTGCCAAGTCTAACCCCATCACCGAGATCCCGATCGTCCCCAATGGGACTTCTAGCTTTCCTGGTCCCTCGTCGACCTCAGTTTTCAGGATCGCGGAGGTCGATCTTGGTCAGCTCGTGGTGGTTCTCCGATGGTCTCCTCCTGGTGCCCCATCGGTACCCCTGAGCCATCTCTGCACCCCTGAGGTGCCTTCGGGGCACTCTTCGAGAACAAGAGGTCCTCCGTCGAGGCAGCCCCATTCGTCCGGGACACGTGGCCCTCTTCAGGGAAGGCACCGTATCTTCGTCGGTGCGTCGCTCGTTAATTTGCCGGGATATAACGCAGGGCCGAGCACCGGTCGTGGCTGCTTCGTCCCGGCGTCCAGCCTCGTACCTACGCACCCATACAACCTGTACGCACTCTCACGTACGCGGGGACACCCTCCGTCCTCGTCATTAGGTACGTCGCCTCGTTAGGATGAGTTTTTCCGCCGCTAATGAGCTTGGCTGCCGGAGTTGTTCGCCGGCCCGGAGAGAGAGGGCAAGAGGACCCGCCATGGCCTACCCAGAAGAGAGACAGAGACCGAGAGAACCATCTCCGTCGCGGCGGACTTGTCCACGCGACGTTACAACCCCGCGTGCAACCCGAAAAGGGGTGCCACCTCGCCGAAGGACCCGAAGAAAATCCACCGTGAAAATTCTCACGTAAAGCCAGAGATGCTTGAAATCTCTCAGCGCAAACCTACCATTCCTTGCACGGCATCGCTATCACCTCGCAGAGGATTATTAAGATTTCCTCAACAGTGGTCAAAGGAGGACCGCGGGATTGACACTTTCTTCACCCGGCAATTCTCGAAATTAAAAGGTCACCCATCTCCTTGAATTATCGTAGAAAAATTCTTGTCTCCTATTTTCTGACGCGTTACCCGCGTATGTCGGTACCTGTAAGATCGGTCAGGTGCTTTACGCATTATTGGGTAGTTATATTTTTTTTCTCGATGCGGATCCTCTATTTCTTTACGGGAGGCTTTTTTGGGGGCACTTTTTCGGCAACGCGAGTTACGCGCGCCACGCTCGAGTGCGACGCATTCTGCGACGCCGGGCGTCGTGGGGCAAAATTCCCCCCCGAGTGCTGTCCAGCGTAGCCATTCATCCAGCCGTCCGCGGCGACGTGGCCCGCGTCGTTTAATTCCCGAATAATTCACGCGTGTTTCTCAAAATACGCTACAGCTGCTCGAGTCGTGTCTACGAGGGGCCGTACAACGGGCCACCAGGACGTCTCGAGACCCATGGATTACGAGGGCGACGAAGGCCCGATGGCGCAAAGAATCCTGACGAGCGGCACCCGGGACGTGGCCGAAGACTTCCTCCGCGACTCGCTCGTGAATGGAAATAAAGCGCCCCCTCTACCTCCACTTTCCTCCCCGACTTCTGCTTAACGAATAATCCAAAGATCTTCTTTCTTCCCGACTTTGCAGACGGCTCTACACTGGGGCGCCAAGCACGGCGACGAGAACATCGTCAAGCTCATCGCGGGGACCTACAAGGACTACATCAAAGGAGTCAACGAGACCACCGTAAGTGACACCCTTAATAAAAATCCCCATGTGAATTTGCATACATCGGTTCGACGGCGCTGATCTTGAAATTGATTTTCATACGGGTAATAATTCCTTTTTCTTGTTCTCGGTGCTGTCGGCGTCTCGCAGAACGGGGTAAGTCGAGGTCCTTTTTATTCCATACTTACTAAGGCTTATCACGGGATGTGTTATCGGTAGCCGGGATTGCGGACTTTCCAGCCTGTATGGAAATTTGTTCCGGGTGCCTTTTGGTGGAGGCACGGTGGCATAGGCGGCGGGCTAAAGATCCCGGCGCCGCGACGCTTCCGAGCGGGAGTCCACGGGTAGGGAAAGAAAGGCGAGGGGGAGAGGGGGCCTCAGATAGGATCGGATGTGTGTGGTCCACCGCTTTACTCTTTATAAGACTTATATAAGCCAGAGCTCTGCGGAGCTCTCGAGCTTGCTCGTTAGCGGCTCGCGACAAACACCGTACGGTTGCCGGCACCGTGTGTCCCCCACCCCCCCGAGGGGGTCCTGGGGAAATTCTTCCCTCGGGCCCGAGGTGGACCGAGGAGTCCCTATCCTCCGGCGTCCGTTTGTCTCCTCTCCCGTCGCCGGCTCGACACGGGCTCATTTGTTTCCGCGGTGTAACCCGAGTCGGCCTGTCGACGCCGCTGCACCTCTTCGAGGCACCGAGACGCCCCGACGTCCGGCACCGACGCCGGACACCCCCGAGTTTGCCCACTTTATCAAACGCGATACCCGGGATTTCAAGATCAAGGGAGGAATCCGAGGGTTTCCAACGATTTCCCACACGGTGCCGGGTGAACACCAATTGTCGGTACTTTTTTTTTTCGGGGGGTTGTTTCTGGGAATATTTTTTCTGGGGAATGGAGGCGGCTTCGGGAGGTCGTCGTGACGCTGGCAATCTGTCGGCGAGGTTCTCCCGCGGTTTCCTCCAGGTTTATCGCGGCATCGACTCGCGTTTTAATCCCGGCAAAAAACGCACCCAGCCCCGGGACCTTAAGCCGCCGTCGTGGCGCCATCCGCGGCGCACGACGACGCAACAATGCATCTCCGAGTCCTGCCGAAGGATGACCACTGGCCACCGGGTGTCTCGTTTCAAAGGGATTCCTTCGCTCTGCTCGGATATCTTGGAGGTCCTGATAGAGATAAAGAAATTTTTTCCGGAGTGTCAGACGCGGTTACACGAGTAATATCGGGAGGGGTGGATTTCTCCAGGGTGGTGCCACCGCCGAAATACGAAACGCCCTTTCCAGGGGGTGGGGTCCTGCGTTATGATTTAGCTGCTCGTAAAGGCGCGCGAGTGATGCGCGGGAAAATATTAAAATTGAAAATCCTCAACGGTGATATACGCCGGTGATATCGGTGGCCGGCAGCTGTCCCGTTTCCGGGCGCGAGAGGGAGAGGTGGCGATGGGGAAGGCAGGAGGAGCGAGCGAGAAGGCGACACAAGGGTGTCGAAAAAGCGAGAGGGGTGCAGCGCGGGAGAAAAGAGTGCGAGAGAGATCCTCCACCGGGGTGCAACGTCTCGGGGATCGGGAACTCCGCTGGCGGGACAATGCTACTTTAAAATATTGTCGAAAGTATAAAAAGAGAGATATGTAGGAAGGGGTGAGGGCGCGCCACTTGTCGCGAGCTCACACGTGTCGCCCTCTATTGGACGCCGAAAAGGGTGAGACCCCAGATGGGGTGAACCGAGGTACTCCTTCTCGCTGAGTTTAAAGGGACGGTGGAATTAATGCACCCTGGTGAAATATCGCGTTACCTCTCGATTTTTAGATGTTATTAATCCAATCTTTCTTATTTTTTATTTTTTTTTCCGATCATATCAATGTTTCTTATTTCTCATTTCCTTTCGGGCAGTTTTTGAGGGCAGAGGGAAATCTAGCCTAGGTAGGTTCGAATGATGCCGGGTGTTAAGGGGATGTCGATAGGGGGTGCGAATAGGATAGGCGCGAGATGTCGCCTCTTCTTCCCTCCCTTATGGAGAATCGCGTGACTTTCCGTCCTTCTGCGGTCGACAGGCCGGCAACTCGACACCTCCGACGGGGAGTTCTCGCCTCGGCTGCTCTCTTCGGCATTCGATTTCGTTTCTTTTTCGTGGTACCTGGCTTCGCCGGCTAAAGACGAGGGGTCTTGCGTCTACGCGAAATAAACTGCCCCGAACAGCGCATCTTTATCGGCCACTTCTAAGATGTGGCGGAAGAGTGAAGATCTCACTTTCCGACATCCTGAATCCTGATCGAAACGTGACAACTCTTCAAATAGATTCCACCTTCCGTTACACCTGTTTATCCCACTGCACCTGTTAACCCATTGTCATCCCCTGGGAATGACAGCGGATTAAAGGGCCACCTTGCATCCAACCAGACTTGCAACTATTATCTTATTACAAAGTCGCGGTACCCTTAAAAACCGTCATTCCTCGTAACTCGAAAATTACAGGATCGCGCAGAAACTAAAATTTCGTGACTCGTATTCAAACTTCTCCCCGATTGCAAATGTCTACCTGTCATAAGTCCCTCACCGCACCTTGCACCTGTCGCCCGAGGACTCCGTCAAGTTGTACTCCTCGTGAAGCCACAATTATCGGAAACGTGCTCATTAATTTCGAATTCGAGGGATCGCGAATTCTACGTGAATTTCCAAAATATCTAGGAATTGAAAAGAGGAAAATGAAGAAAAGGGTCTCGCACGCTTCTGGTAATTCTTCACCCCTCGCGTCGGAGGTCGACCGTCGAGTCTCGCTTATCGATACATCGATAAGTACCTGCGAGTGCAACCTGCGTACGTGCGTACGCGCATGCGGTACTTGGCGCAGGTTTTGCACACAGAGGCCAAGGGCTGGCTGCGTCGCGGCATAATGAGCCGTGCACGCACACAATTACGCGCAATTTGTCGCGACGCAGTCGCGGACGTCGAACACCGTCCATGCGTGGCTGCGTGCGCGAGTACTCGCGTGCGTGGGCATCGGACTGCGTGTCCCGCAACCGCAGACGTTAATTCAGGGCCGCACCGCCGGCTTCGACGCCGATAAACCCGATAGCGACGAGGTTCGTTAATATCGACCTTCTTGATCGGTCCCTCCCCCGCGACCTCTCGATCGCTCCCTAAAGCTCGTTCAAACGAGAAAATCGGAAGAATTTCCCGATACTTCTCTACATCTCATATTCCACTAAACCTCTTCTCCATTTTCCATTTTTTCTTGTATTTCTATAGGAATAGAACGTCGAAAGAGAAAATCCGATCAGCGAGATCGTTTAGGTTAAATTTCGAGAGCACGCGCCGCGTTGTCGGAAGAGCCGATAGAAACGTCCCGCAGGCATCGATCGGAGAGATCGATCGGAGATCGATGCGCCTCCGAGAACGGCGGTTCTCGAGAACCCGGGACAAATGAGCAGCTGCTTCCTGAAGAAACGGGGAAAAGGGAAGCCTCACCTGCCCTCGGCTGATACACCGGAGATAACGTCTCGGCGATACCTTCCGCGGCGCGCGGCGATTCCGCCGAGGAACGTCCGTCTCCGGGCCGTCACGGTGTGCCGGGTGATCGCGTGTCCGCGCGATTACCGAAGACAACTGTCGCTCGTTATCGCAAATTCGGATTCGAGTGTACTTACACTCTGTTAATGGGGGACCATTATGTACCCCTTATGGGATGCACGTAAGTCAAGATAAATTACCCGGGACGTAAGGGGATCCCAAAAAAAGTGTGCAAAAGCGAGTGAACTAATTTAATTTTAATGGATAAAATTTTCTGGCTAATTGAATTTTTTTTTAATCCCATGCCCGAGGGTAAGCGTGCGCAAAGGAGGCATAACCGCGCGTTTACCACGCACACGCACTGGGCGTGTTAGTGGCAATTTCCTATGATTAATGTGTATATATTCTACGAGCGGGTTCGCACCTTCGAATTTCTCAGTCCGCACAAGAACGCGTTACGTCTCCGATCCCACGCGTGTCGCACGCACGCGATACGTAACGCTCTCGGGTCGCGATTTCCTCGTCGATGGCGGAGTTCGCACGCTCGCGGTAATATCCGCAACAAGGAGTGGCATTAATGCCTCTTGTCTCCGCCATGTACGAGACCGAGAGACGGGTGGAGGCGCGTGCAGGGGCGATACGTTTATGAAGTTTATATCAAAGCTGTCGCATTGTTAATGGCGGCCTTGTGTGCGTATTGGCGTATAATAGGTTTTCTCGTTATGCTTTCCGAGCGATTCTGGAGGTCGTATTTCGTTTCAGGGATACACGGCGCTACATGTCGCGATGCAGTTCGACCACGAAAACATATTCAACCTCTTGGTCCAAGTGTACGGTGAGTGTGACGAATGATTACGGTTGGCACTTCCAAAAAATCGAAAAGGAAACGAAAAGAAGTTACAACAGAAGCCCCGGCCTTAACGCGGTTATCGCTAAAATGGTATCATTTAAGCCCACACGAAAGGCAAGTCGAGCAAACACCGTCGGCTTACCTCAAAGCAGAGAGTGTCGGCGCAGATTAGAGATTTCTGTCTCCCCTTATCACTCTCAGCGACGGCTCGTCGATATCCATTAGACGGAGACACCTCTCATTGTCGGGCTCCTATTTACCATCCGATAACCATCGATCCCAGAAAACGACTCTGCTTTATCGCGGCACTTTTCGCCGACCTCGGACAAATATTATCTCTCGGGAAAGTAAACTGAGACGCGCAGATAAGTCAATCGGTGGGCGAAAATACCCGAAGATTGGCCAAATCCTCTAAATCAATTGATTTCGAGATAAGAGGTTCCTTAGGAGTACCTTAGACTTCATTTTTTCTGGATCTCGGGCGTTAGAACGGGGACGGGCTGTCGAGCGCGGCGTCCCTAGCAACGATCGCCCTGGCAACCGGGAACGCTACTATGGCGGTCGGCGTTCCTAGCAACCAAGCGACTTCACTTTACACGCGCGTAGCTCGTGTCCGGTAGCTCGTAGGCAGTTTTCTCACAGGGAAAAGGGACGCGTTAAGATGTCGCGCGACTGTTCACAGGTGCCAACCAGGAATTGCGGGACTACAGCGGGAAGAAGGCCCGGCAGTACCTGGCGTCACAGGAGGCGGCTGTGAGCCAGGACACCTTCCGCAGTGAGTACATCCCTTCGCCAGGGGAGGGCCGTCGTCCACGTAGGGCCACGTCCATGAGAACCGCATGTGCGCCTTTCCACCTGTCTGGCTATGCTGCGGATGCCGCAAAGCCGTCCGCGTCTCTTCCGCCCTGCATGAAAAAACCCCGACCGCAGCGCAAAGCCCTTTTAGGCACGCCAAGCTTCCTCCGCAAAAACCGAGCGGCCATCGGCACCGATACGAACAGGTCCGGGACGCTGCCGCGTGTCGTCGATTAGAAACGTGTCTATTTCCTGCCCACCCGCGGACGCGCATTAATCGCATGCAACCATCGTCGAAAGACCTCCAAGAACGCGGCTCGGCGATTGACGGATGACAGGTCCTTTGATCGGGCATCGATCACTCCTTTCCGCGGACCTCACTAACCGATCTTATTCCTCCAACCCTTTTAAGCTTCCCTCGTCCTCCATACCTCCCTTTGTGACCGTCATCCCGACATTTCCTTGCGTTTTCCTCTTTGCGCCCAGCCAACCTGTACTCGCGGCGCTCGGTACGCATGTCAGCACTCGCGTGCGCTGTACCTAGACATTTTTTCCCTGATCTTTTCTAATACCAGGCGGGACTACTCGACATTGGACGCGGCAAAAACGAGATTCCTGCGAGATGGAGCGGTCAGATGCCGACGCGAGTCTGCTTCTGGGTTCTCTTACAGGTTATCGCGACCATGCACGTAATGACGCCTCTAAGAAAGGATCACACGACTTTTAAAACAGGTTATATGGATCTTGAAATTACCCGAATCAGGGTCTTTCAGGGACAATGGAGTCCTGTACTCCCGCGTGGTATTACAGTACACCGGGGTAGTTATTTTTATGATTATTGTATGGATCTTTTTGTGGGAAGTGTATGGGTGGAGACCATGTGGTTCTTCGGTTGGACGTAGGTATCCCTTGATTTTTTTTTCCTATCTGGTTGGGAAGTCTTGCACATTTTTCCGTAGTGGATGTAGGTCGTGGGCGGTCGTGTAAACCTGGAATCCAGTTTGAAGCACAAACAAAATTAATAGGCTTACTGGAATGTTTCCGTGATGTCATGAATAGGCCTGTTAATTTTGTCTGTGCCTCAAACTGAATTCCAGGTTCACACAGCCGTCGTGGGCGAGAGTTCGGTAGTTGTCGATGATTGGTCCTGAATCGTGGGGAGTACGTCGGGGTTCTGGAAGTGTTCTTCTGTTGTAGGGATTACTGCTGCTGCTACGCTCAGGCAAGTCGAGAGGTACACCGTTGCTAAAGTAGTAGAGAGCTTGTCGTGAGGTTTAAGTAGCCGCACCTTGATGTAACGTATATGAATACTTATATTTGCAGCCTTATGTGTATGACCGCGCAATAACTCCGACAAAATCGAGGGAGCCCGCCTCTGCATTGACTTTGTGTCCTCGCTTAAAGTCGTTTAACAAGGCGAGTTTGCATCCCCGTGCGGGGATGCAAGGAAGACTTAACACGCCTGTCCGTATTATCTGCATATTAACAAGCTCTTACATTTTACGGGGACATCGTTTAACAGTGCATCGCGTACACTAAACCGGTACCGAAAATATTTAACCGGTTGCAATCCGGAGACTTGCAGCCCGATAAGCGAGCGACCTCGAGACTATTTAATTACGCTCGAGTCAGGAACGAGTCTCATCACTCTTCATGTATTACACTAATCCTTGAAATGTCCACAGGCGGGCTTCGCACCCTTCGAGTTTCAAGAACGCTCGTCAACGTTTAGACTTCTTCGTAACGCTTGTGCAACATTGACTTGCAGTAGTGAACACGGTGCAGTAAACGCAGGAATAGTCATCTAGGCCTCGTAAAATCGTCACTAGTCATTCGGCTCGTTTAGAAGTAGCGGCACTTCCTCCATATTTTTAACCTTAGAACGACAAAGCCACGTCCAGTTGTTATGCACGAATTTTTTAAAACCCGTTGTATCGTCACCGCACATTCAGGAGAGCCATGAATTCACCTTGTACCGAGTCTCTTACGCCATTTTGCGGCGAATAAAGCATGTACCGTGCATGTGCATACTATTTCCGCACTCTTTCCCGAACTGCTCTTTTTTTTTTCCCTCCTGCTGGATTTACACATAATGACCCGGAGAACGAGAAAAGAAAGAGCCAGAGGCCGTTCGTCTAACGTCATACATTTTAAAATCCTCTTTCTCTTCTTAACATTCTCGCATACTCAATGGCCGAGCCAATTAGACGCTCGCCGGTATTAATTAATGCGATCTCGAATGTTCCCACTCGGAAGTCAGGCCTGGGTACGTCGTATTGACATCTAATTATTAAAATGTATTATACTTGGGCGCATGGAATCGTTCAAATCGACCAAAGATTGAGGATAAACCGTGCACGGTCGCCATGCAGCGTCCGGCCGCCATTTTGAAACAACACCCTGCAACAATTAGAAGGGGTTACCGTAAATGATATTAATACCATATGCCAGTTACCCTTTTTTTGGCGCCTGGCGCTTCAATTACGGGGGGTGGAAATTATTCTAAGTTATTTCACGCCTAATCGCGATGAGGCATTAATTTTCCCTTAACGAGAAGTGAGCTAATGGCGGCCCTCGCGTCATGGCGGATCTTCGATCTTCTTCCTTGCTTCTTTCAGGTCGTAAAACTACGACGTCACCTCCTATGTCGCGTCCCTTGGATGGAAATATATTATCCCTGGCGCCGCGCCGACAGAGTCGGCCAATTTTCATATAAATCATATGGAAATCCGCGTAATTACTTGTCGATGCGTCCCAGGTCATCAGCGAGTGCAACAATGTCGGGGCCGGTGGAAAAAACGATCCTCGTAATTCTCGTTTCCCGCACGCGGAGGAATATGGAAATCACGAGCTTGGTTCTTTCCCTCTTTTTTTTTCCCCGTCACCCTGTTTTTGCCCGCGTTCCTTGCGTGCAAATTTTCATTCCGCATGAAACTTTCTAGTTGCGAGTGTCCTCGTTCCCGGCCGCCATCTTGCACGACGCTGTGACTCTACTCGCTCTTTCTCGTCTCCTTCTCGAACCCTCTCTCTCGTGGCTAGTTCCCCCCTGTAAAAAGCGGAGAATCTTCATAAAATGACTAATAATTTTGTCGAAATTTTAATACGCTCTACCCTAGGGTGAAACATTTTTTCTCCGTGCATTTCGACAGGCTCAATGACATTGTGCTTTCTCTTTCAGAAATAAAAGCAAGGAAAAAGCATGCAGGTGAGGAGCGATCTATTGAAAGTAACGTAGAGAATGAGAGATAACGCGAGGGAAGAACACGAGGAGAGATATCTAGGTCGGGGGACGTGCTTATCGGTTAATAACTAAATAATTTAAGATTCCATATACCCTTTCTCCGAGTAATGGAGAACGCGTCGAGTCTTCCAAGTGCAATTTTAATCGTAGCTCTTTCATTCTTCTCGATTAGTCGTCATTGTAAATATTTATCTTCGGTTAATAGTCTTACCGTTAATCACGGTTAGGAGGACCGATTTCGATCGGTACTCTTCTCTGGAGAAATTTCTTAAATCCGCCAATGGCGAAATTATTCGCGGTGAGCCGCGAAGAGGTCGCACTCCGAGAAAAGGGAAAAATCTTGATTCCTTTTCGGGGTTTTCGACCCGAGAGGACTAGAACTAGTCGAGAGGGAACGGCGTCGGTTTTCCGATCGAAATGGCGGCCCCGATCCTCGCCGATAAGGCGAAGCATGGCCGCCCGTAACAGGCGCGATACCGGAGTAACTGCATTGTGGTTCAACGCAGAGAAGGATCTTGGTTTCCTACGAATTGGCTCGTTGAACGTTCGCGTGAAACGTACGACGGAGGCCTTCAGCCAGTTCCTGGGTGTGGCCAGTAGTGCCGCCAGCAACGCCGAAAAAATCCACAAGACCTGGGGCTCAGCGGACAACATTCAGGTATCGGCCTGGAAATCATTTCATCCGAGTATCCTCAATTCCATGTTACAACTCTGCTATAAAATGGCCCCGAAAAAAATTCGAATTTTGAGAAATTATACTATTTCTCCGAAAATATCAGCGATACAGAGGTCGTACGGGCATGGATTTCCAGAGATAGTGGTTTACAAATCTGAAATAGAAATTGAAAGGGGTTGTTAAATTTTTAATTGGCAGAGCGATTTACGAGCCACCAGTTTTTATTACCGGTGGTGCCGGGAATCCTAAAATCTCGTGGTGAAAAATTCTTGCAGGACCACAAGGTGATGCCGCCGCCCAAGTACGCGCCCATCAAGAAGCGGCGCAGCAGGAGAGCCCAGGATTTCCCTGCTTCCAGGAATCAACAGCAGGCTGCGAGTCAACCCACCACCCCGACACCCCGTGGGAAAAGCTTCGTTTCCGCGGAACGGCGAAATTCTGCCGTCAACTCTGCCCCGCCATCTGGAATCTCGAGCGACCCTCCGGTTCCTCCCAACGACTCCGACTCGGACACGGCCTGCGGATTCGATTCCGCGTGGCACGCACCCGCGCCATTATAAACCGCTATCGATTCCCGGAAAAGGGAAAATCCTCCAGGATACAGACCGAGACCCGTAATCAGGGGGATAAGTTGGAGCGCGTCTTCCGAGCTGCACGGTTCGAGGAACCCGGACAAAAGCCACGGTGGGCTCGATCGAGATCGATAACAATGGCAATTAAAATTATAATGGGATAGATGATACGATAGGTCGAAGACACGTGGAAACGACGCGTTTCCACGGGACGACTCGAAATCTCGACGATTGGCTAGCCTAGTTTTCGATCGACATTCGGGTATTTTATCGTTAGCTCGTTAGGGGTATTTATTTTCTCTTTGATGAACGCTTGTTTAGGGAAGCTGGGATTTGTTTTAAAAGTAGGGAGGCGTTTAGTGCGTTTGCTCTTACATCTGGGACGGCTTCGGAAGATGTGAAAGTTCTACGTGTACTCCAGATCTCTGCTAGCAACGGGGGACAATGATTTTTCGCCTCTTAGCGAGAAAGTGTTGGACTTATTCCCAGCGGGTGTGCAACTTGTTGCCGCGAGATGTATCAATTATGTTGCATTGTTGCGTGTACGAAGCGGTTGCGCCGCTTTGCAAATTAGGTCTGCTCGGGTGATTCCCATTCTCGGGGTCTGCGGCTCTCGCGAGAGTTACTTCTATTTTCGATGATTCGATCATCGTTGCGTAATGCCCGGAGCGTGGATGCACTTTGGTATTTTCTTATGTTATCTAAGGCTGTACCGCACAAAATGATAATTATAGTCCGGCTGTTTTTAAAAAGGAAGGGAAGGATTTTTCATTCATCGTTTCAAGGTGTCACGGGAATTAAATGGGCGTTTAGAGTCTTCGAGATTTTTTACAGCGTCCAGCGCCATGAAGCCGGTCTACAAAACGTTTCCACGGGATTTTCCGTGCTGGTAAAAATGGTTTCACGGATTTGGGGAATTATTGTGACGAGTTATCCGGTGAGCACCTGAGATGCGAGATACCACTAGGATTGAACATTTCTTGGGTCGGTAAAGAAGTCCGTGGAGCCAATGGTGGTATGCTATCTATTGCCGGTAAAGTAACAGCGGTTGGTCAAGCTGGTATCGAATAGGGCAATCGATATAAATTCTATCGGAAGAACTCTGATAATTTATTAGATGGTAAGATTTCCAACTGTTGGTTATCCGAACAATTGATTTCAATGGACTAACTGCGTTACCGCCTGCAGGATCCATCCATCACTTCCTGTCCAAGAAATAGGATACCGCGCCATCTGATACTACAAGAAATAGTACTAACTCTTTTTTTAACTTTTTTTAAGTATTCCATTTGAAAGGGAATAGTTGTAAATATATAAATAACTGCAAAAAAAATTCCTATCGATGTTACAACACGGAAACATAATTTCATGAGATGCTAGGCTTTGACAGTTTTAAAAATAATTGATACCTCTCTGTAAGAACAGGAAGGAGACGCCATTTTGTAAGAAGGGCTTTATTTCATTACGCTATTTTTCAAGCAATCCCACTTAGATTTCGTTCGTATAGTACAATTCTTTATTGTGTCCCAGGCTCAACTTGTCGCAACATTGTCGATCGTTTAATTAATAGAAGCCTTAATGCCAGTACACGATTATTGCTCGTTTACAAATATTCAACACACTATAACTTACCAGGGGAATTTTCATAGTGAGGCGCACTTTACCATTGGCGTATATTATTGACTCGAGAGCAGTAATACGAGAGTAGTCGTTTACTCCGAGAGGAGAAAATCGAGCTCGATCTTCCCATTTCCAGGAAATGCAAATAGGACATTTAATTAATTAAACGCAGAAAAAAAAATATTTCTCGCAAGTCTCCGAGTTTCTTTCGGACGAACGAGGATCCTGTCAATTGTTTCATCTGGATTCACGCGTATAAGTATGACGGCGCAGTCGTGCATGGTAAGTCGCGAACAAATTGTCTAAAGAAAATTCTTTTGGAGTCATTTCGGTAATCTGCGAATGGAAAAAAGAAAAAGACATTTCACTGACTCCTTAATCTAATTTTCCCTACTACGCAGAGGTCCTGTCTCCTAGCACCAGGATTCGATATACATATATATTCTGTCATTTCCTCGACGATCTCTCCCGACAAAAAAGTGTACTTTGCGCGTCTTCTCTCGCATATCGACCCTACGGATTTTGCAAAGTATTATAAATGACTAGTTACATCCTACACCGTTTTAAATAGTGTATATACATCTACCAAGTAACATGTATACTTGTATGATTTGTCCCTTACACGTAGAGTTATGATACACGTAGTTCCTAAGTCGTTGTACATCGTTACGTTACCGTTCCTCGTCTTCATCGAGTCATGCTCCGCGTTTTCCACATTTTCCACGTTTCTTTATTATTTCTCTTTTTTTTTTTCTCGAGTCTCGAAACTCGAATCTCGACTTTCCCTACCGGTTAAAATATATCCGCGAGTGTCGCACGCTTCTCGGTCGCTCGATTTTTAATTCCCCCTAACACAGTTACGATTTTGCCCGACGTATTTACAGACATTGGATACAAAATTATAAACAGTTCTCAGTACAAAATAATTTCACGATTATAACGATTAGGTGTAATAGCGTAAAAGGTATTACCGGGTGAGCTCTGTCTTAGTAGTTATATCTGCACGATTCGTCCCTGGGGAATCGGTGCAAATCTTGTTACTAGGGATTTATTACTAGGGTCCGTGCAAACTTTCCATTCGCATTCGATCGCTTCTTCTTAACTCGAATCGAAAGAATTTCGGGCTTAGCGATGATTTCAACATTTTCTCAATGTTTTTCATTTTCCCGGCTCGAAGTCGCCGTGGAATCGCAGCTAATCCGGATTGTTAATTCAAAGGAAATTAATTAAGTATTGTCAACGTCTCGCGTTAGGTATGAGGAAGGGCCACCTAGGGTCTCTTGTCGGACTCTTCAACATCGATTTGCTCTGCACTTGGTATCGGAAAAAAATCATTCAGTCTCAAGGCTCAAGCATGATTGTCAATCATACGGATGCAGCGTCAAACGTAATGCATGCAGCACGTGACATGTCGAATTGTCATCTCGGGTAGGGTCGAAATTCTCTCTTCTTCGGAGCTGACTAACATAGAGCTCACCTGTCGGTGTGATTATGACGAGCATGCGTACGTTCGTTCTCCCACTAATATTTCCCACACAAGTGGAAAAGTCATTTTTTCTCAACGAGGTCCCAGACGAGATTTGCAATGCCGGTTTGCCTCGAATCGTTCACGAGATGAGAAATTCGAAACTATGGAAAGACGTCCTAAGAATTCGCCCATTACAATTTTTTTTTTTCTTTGTTTTAGTAGATAACAGATCATTTGGTATTTTCAAACCAGGGAAGATCGACGGAGGCAAACGAGTCTTGCGAAATCGCGTTTAGGTACAGACAACGGATTGAGGTTTGCTTGCTGGTTTCCCGAAGCCTCCTGCGCGGCGATAATAAATCACCGATTATTCCGCAATTTCTCTTTCCCGTTGATAGTGCCGTAATTTCCTCGGATCTGATTCGACTCGTTAGAGAAACCGATTCGAACCTCGCCTTGGCTCAATGGCCGTATAACGAGATCGGAGATCTTTCAGGGAACCGTTCTAGACCTACGGGCGATTCGGCTGGTTTAAATTCAATATTGAACTTTGGTTAATTGCGAGGAACACGGGTCGATAGAGGATGTAACACTGATACAACGATGGGTCGAGAGGATGCCCGAGACTATTCTGAATTTAAGTTAGCCGAACCGTTTCTTTTCTTTTTTCTTTTTTGTGTGTTCTTCCTAACCAACTTGCAACACGGGTATCTCGCAGAACTGATTTGCGGCCTTTGCAAGTAATTCCGGGTATCGCTTTCGGGAACACTTATACTTGTAGAGGGTGAAGAGTTTCGGTCGAACGTTAACAACCACTGTTATGCATAAAAGACTCAGGATGCCGAAGGAAAATGCAATGGAGCACGATCAAGTGCCTGCATGCCATCTCTGAACTTCACTCGACTTCGTTGTCCTGCATTCGGCGTTACAGTTTCCTCTGTTTTGTTTTTTCTTTTTTTCTTTTCTCTTTGTATTCCCCCTTTCCCCGACATGGCGCGGTCACGAGTGAGATATATTAAAGGCATCTTGGTGGTTTTTGGAGAATTACGGATCCTTTATGCACAATATGGCCCAAAGATGGTGGGGGGGTAAGGATGAAAAATTAATCACGTTTTTAATTTAATCGTTCATTAAACGACCTGGCAGCCTCTAAATTGAACATTTGGTAAAATCCGTACCGGAAACGACGTCGAATCGGCGAACGAATTGAATTATTTAACCAATTACTAATATTATTATTTTACGCCGTGACAACGAGACGTCGTTCCTCTAATCCTTTGAAAGAATTAAAAGGGAATATTTTAGAATGAAATCACCGGTGTCATTGACGCTGCTTGCCTCTGGAGATATCTTTCGAGCTGACACCATCGGCATGACATAATTGTTAATTTCACGATCTGGCTAATTATTTACATTAAGAGGAGGTGGTTACTTCTCGCACGTGATTGCCGCTACGCTCGGCGCTATTAGCTAATAACTTTTCCGATTCTTGTTTCTTTTTCAATAATTCCTCGCAATGATGTCAGTCGTGCGCCGTGAAGAGAGGAAATTTAGCGAGGAGCTAGAAGAACATTTATAAATATTTTCGGAGAAATTTCTGCCACAGAACTAATTCTGTCTCTGTGCTGTAGCATGATTCGGAGGCTAAACGAAGGTTTCATGTACGATGATTCGAATCATGGCAAGGTGATTTCTCGACATGTCTCTTTAAAATCCAGAGCGCGATCCCTTCTTCACCGACACTTCGAAATGACAAAGGATAGGTACACGGAGACGTGTATAAATTATCACATGAGTAGACAAGTGAGTTACTCGTTAGCAGTAGGGGGCAACAATATAGCCAAAGGCAGCGTTATGCTTATACTTTAAATACGTACATACTAATCTCTCTACCTACCTCTTAAGTCCCTATTACATTAATTATATAAATAGTATTTTAATATCGTAACGGTAACATCGTCTAGCATATGATGTCATTACACATTATCACGAGGCTTCAGACGCGAGTCTGGGGACCTCGTTATCATGCCTGAGGTTTCCAGGTTAAAACCATAAATCTCATTATCAGACGCGAGGCTTCTCTTAGAACAAAGACCTCGTAATTGTGCACGTCATTTTCGCTCCAATTACCACATGCCTAATTATTACGGTTTCTTGCACGGAACTGACAACGACGTCTTGCCTCGAGATTTCTCCGCCCGGCTTGAAATTCCTAATTACCGAAATATTTAAGTATTACGACATTACGAGAATATTGCTGAATAAATAATTTGTCATACGATGTAAACCTGGAAACCTCAGATTTAGCGCTTAAAAGTCGATTCCTAATCTTACTTCGTCGTATCGATTTCGAAGAGAGTGCCTTTCGATATTTTACCCTTTTTTTTTTTTCATGTAAGGCTGCTCCCTTTTGCAATTCCGAAATTAATTTCTGGATATGTCGATGAATGATTCTCGTTTCGATATGCCTTTCGCGTGTGGATTTGTCGTTTAAGGGGAATTTGAAATAGCCTCGGTCAAGGTGAGACATCATAAATTAATATTCCTCCATCCTGGTAATATCGGAATGGTGAAATTACCAAATCGATCTTCCCAATTCCGCATTTCCAAACGGAAGTCAAAGTAACCGACCCGGGTCAATTTCTTCAAGAGTTCAATGGTCGTTCAATCGGACGAGACTACCAATGCCATATAACGTCTATACTGCGCGCAATAATAATAAAGTCTCTTATTGCTACCTCTATATTTACAATAAATATATTAGTTTCATTGATCCCGCCTATTATATAAAGTTATCATTATGATGTGTCATAGCCAAGGTATTTAGCGTACTACCGAAGTCGCAGGCCTCGCAAACCCACAAAACCTATTCGTACTTAAGTGTCGCGATACTTCTACGTTACTCATTACCATCTCCGATCATTCACCTCGGATTCCCCAAATCAAGTGCCAAGACCAATCAATAAATAATCTATCCCGAGCAGAGTTGCAGTCTTATCGAAATCCAAAGTGAACCGAAGTCGGAAAAGATGCTCGCAACCCAAAGAGTGTCCATGGTCACGAAATGCATCTTATGATCAGAAACGAAATCCACGGTGCATGGAACTTGGCGTTAAAAAAGAACGAGAGGTTACACGCTATGTTTCTAGGTAGGTCGATCAATCCCGCGTTATCAATTCTCTTCCGCTTCTAGGGAAATTCGATCCCAGTTCCGGCCTCTAGATCCCAAATGCGATCCACATGAACTTCGAGAACGAGTTGAAAACCTCGTCAGACCTTCCGCATCTGACCTCGTGACCACGAGGTCGACGAAGGATTAATATCAGGAGGTCGGGGCATATCCCAGGTTCTTCCTCTGCAGAAAAAGGGAAATTTCACGGAAAGTGGGCCTCTCGGTCTCCTCTCTTCGCCAGCACTCCAGCATCAGGTCGTAGATATCCTTGGACGAGGCATTTGGTCTCGGCAGATGATTGAACTTCGGCATCTCCTCGGTGCTCTTCTGGCACTCCGCGTTGTGCTGCAGCTGCTTCAGGCTCTGGACCACTTCTTCATCCGAGAGGTGCTCGTAGGGGATGCGTCTTCCGAGGTTGAGAATCTCCCAGAGAGTGACGGCGAACGCCCAGACATCGCTTTTCGTTGTATACTTCCCCTAGAAAAATTCGACCGATCGATAGAGTGTCCCATTGAAAGTGAGTCGATTTAAATAAGATCTCTCACCAGGAATATGGACTCCCAGGCCATCCAGCGGACGGGCAGAGGCATGGTTCCATCGACCTTGTAATAATCACAGGCATACAATTCGTTGTCCGTTCCGAAATCCGAGATCTTGATATGGTAGGCCTTGCCCACGAGGCAGTTCCTGAACAAGACGAAAGTCAGGAATTAATTCAGACCGAACCTTCCGAAATTAAATGATGACTCGCGAGGAACGAGCATCCCTCAACGAGCCAACCCTGAAGAGCATTAATTGCAGTCAAGGTGCACAAAACTGAAATCAATTCCGCCAGTGGTCGAGGGTTTTCCCGTATTTTTTTCTCCCATTTTTAACCCGTTCCCAACATTCGGACGAGGAGATCGATTCGGGCAGGAGCATGCTGCGCATAGCGCGACTTCCCATCTAGATACGTGTATGCATTCTGTGCATGCAGTCGACCGGAAGTCAGGAATGATGCCCGCAGGTGGGAACTCGTGTGGGTGCAGGTGCGTGTGTGCACGCAGGCGTCTCGGTGGTGACCAGCGGGGAAGTTTGCGAGGTTATGTATCTGGGTACCAGGGTGCCTAGGTGCACATGGGCACGCGTGGCCTCGTGTTCGCATAAACGACAAGGAAGGAGCAACGAACGAAAGAGAGAGGAGAGAGAAAGATCAAAGGAAAGAAAGTACCGCCCAGGAGTTGCAAGGTGCAACGGGGCCGAAGTTGCACTTTTAAAATACGTTGCAGTTCCGATTGCGACTTCGTGGCGAAGGCGATCGGAGAGAGGGAAGGGAGACGTTCAATATACGTATGCCATAAGCTATCCAGAAGCCGCTCTTCCCGAAACTATCCCCCCGAGTAACTCCGCTAAGCCGGGCCGAGTAGCCAAACAGTTTGGCGTCGCTAACCTCCCAGTTATTGAATTGATGGAATCAATTAATTCGACCCGGCCGCCGGGAACAAAGCTCCAATTTAGAGCCCGGGTAATTAGCGACGCTTTATCGATCACCGGTAATTGGCCGGCTAGGTGAGCGCCGTGTCCTCGTACTTCGTGTACGCTCGGTACTTCAGGGATGCCCTCAAGTACGCCCGGGTTGGTCCCCCTACCTCGAGCCCCTTGCACTTCGGATCCGAGTTAAGAGAAGTTCCGGCCTAACGAGAACCATTGTTCCTGGTTTTCTGTACCCCGGAACCGCGGAACTGCCCCGACTTTTCCGACCAGGCAAAGAGTCCTTGCCGATGAGTCCTTCCACTTCGGGAGTCGGATCTTCGGCCCGAAATTGGGATTCTTCGGCTCATCGAAAGGGATGCAGGGACGGAAACGTTACCAGCTTGCGGATGCAAAGCTGCGGAGAAGAACTTCGCTGATAATAAATTTGACAAAAATTCAGGCAATTCGCAGATCGCGGATTTCCTTCGGATAGAAAATAATTAATCCGTGAAAGAGGATTATAGGAGCCACCCCTTTCGGGCGATCGTCAATTCGGCTTAATCCGCACATTTGCAACCGAAGTGAGGGGGTGGAGTAGTCAGGGGATGTTGATACGGTGGTTTCTCGATCCACGTTCCTTGGTGCACCCCTCCCTCCCCGAATCGGCTCCCCCGAGCCCTGGGGGTTCGTTCTCTCTCGTGCCAATTGAATTGCATTACCGTTTGATCAGCCGCATCGATCCCCCTCTTTCCGGCCACAATTCCGCAATGACTTTACAATGCGGAATCCGCCGGTGCCCGCGCCGGGGTGAATAAGGAACGGGGATGGCCGCGTCCCCGTGGAAACCCCGTCGAGGAAAGTGTATTGGATTTTCCTGGCAGACGAGGGCGGCAACCCGATGATCGGTCGAGGATGGGATCTCTTTAGTCGAAACTTGGAATAAGATCCCTTGAAACCAAGCGATCGAAATCTCAAACCCACCCATAGACCTCCAATACGATCGCCATGTACCAGCGAAAGCGGTCCGGTCATCTCTTCGGCATATTATCAGTCTTTATGGGACACCTCGCTCCTGAAATTTCCACGGGGGCATAAATCAAAAGACGGGGTCTCCACGTCGGGGATATTTTCCAGGGTGCTATATCCTAGTTAGGTCTTCGGGGCCACTTTTAACAGGGCCGAAATACCTGCTCCGAAATAATTACGGGGCCGATGCCGGGCAGGGGTGCGATAAATTTCGCGAAATAAGTATCTGATCCCGGCGTGTCATTTTGCTCGGCGTATACGGCCTCGTTCACCGTTTAGACGTTAATAGAAACCCCGCCTCGTCCTCAGGAATGATTCGGAGCCCCGGAGACAGCAGTAAAGACGCAATCTCGCGGGGCCGCGGCACTCGTTGTAATTGTTGAGTGAAATCGCCCCCCCGATCCCCCAGCGCCTCCACGATACGACCAAGGAGGAGGTCCTCGTATTCCTAGAAGATTTACGAGCCATCAATGAGAGACACTGGCACCCTCGGAAACTAGGTTCCACGCCGAGGAGCGCGCCTCCACCTTCGAAGTTATAGCGTCGTATCGATTCGGCAAGATGAGCTCCGCATTTCAATAACCGGAACGCCCGTGCTCGAGTCGGCATGAACCTACGTCAACATTCATCCCCATACCTCCTTAGGACCGTAGAATATTTTTTCGGATTTTCTACGAACCCCCGAAGACCAAAAAAGGAAAGGACGAACACCAAGAGTCACTACGACGCTTCTTACGATTTCCTCATTTCTGTAATAACTACGTTTTTTTTTCTTAACTCCCAAAAACTGGGAGTAGTTTTGTCGTGGCTGCTTCGAAGTAGTGGTTCGATGCTTGAGCTGGGATTTGTGGAGAGGATTTTGGGTGAATTTTTGGCATTTGGTGGGGCAGGTGGGATTCGAGCGATTCAGGTGCATTTTGTATCGGGTCGTGTACCAATCGAGCAAACTCCACTGTTCGAGTCGTCCTGACAGGCCGATATTGGACGTCCTGACAGTTTACTCCGGGCTCTCGCAACAATGCCAAATTAGCTCGTCCAAACGGACTGGTAGTGCCTAATTGTCTTCACTTGCGGCCGAGCGATACGCGCGAGTCGCGCCGATGCTTGGCCGGAACTAACGAATCAGCGGCTGATTTCCCCTGGCGACTCGCGCCCCCCGGCTGTTTGTTTCGGGCTTATGGAAATACATTCTCGGGCGAAATAATTCAATTCGCCCGGCCGAAAATCGATATCCGCTGTCGTTTTATTCGATTTAACTGTTACCCGGGCAGCGGTCCCCCTCAAGGCGCTACACCGGCCGAATCGCGATGCCCGACGTTACATCGACCCGCAGAGTGTCCTCGGTTTCCTTTTCTTTTTCCTTTAAGTACTCTGTCCCTACAGAAATTGCCCAAACCGTTCTCGACCGATCAGCGGAGCGTCCTATTTCCGGGGTGGAATCGATCTCCGGTGTCCGCTTATTAAATTTAACCACGATCCCGGGATAAGAGCGTTCCTTGATACTCCCAGGACGCCGGCCCAGCCGAAGTTGCGACCAAGTCCTGAACCGGTCCTGGAAGGACCGGGGCTGCTGGCTTTGATAGTTCGCCGCCGTTCCCAAGGGATCTCTTCAGGGTAGATGGGCCGTGTCGCCGGGAAGTTTCCCCCGCGAGTGCCGGCTGGGACTCACCTGGTGGCCAAGTCGCGGTGCACGAAGTTCAGGTTCTCCAGGTATCGCATTCCCGAGGCGATCTGCGCCGCCATGTAGATGAGGCAGTTGAAGCTGAAACGAGAGACCGAGTTGCCGAGTTAAACGCAGACATCGCAGCGTCCCCTAACGAATTAATCCCGACCGTGTCAGCTGGCAACGGATGAGCGACGCGAACGAGTTCGACTTCCCAGCGGACGAAGTCGCGGACGATTGACTTCGATCTATCGCCACGCCGTTCGGAAATACTCGATATATTTTCCCACAATCGGATCCAGGATGGCGAGGTAGCCTCGCTTCCGATGCTTGCCTTTAGGAATTTTCCTAGGAAAAAAATCCACGAAAAGTGTGTCTTTGATGCACCTGAGAATCAAGCGCGTCGTTTCCTCGTCAAAGACCGTTCCCTTCGATGGGTCTCTCTTAAAATCCTCTATTTGCGTACACGGCATCGTTTCCGCGCGATCGGCGCAGATTTACGAGTCAAAATTGATTCATGAGCTCGAGTTCTCAATCGGGGAAGGTGTCTCCATGAATTTTAAGGGATTTGGGTCGCGGCAGAGAGGTTCTAGGATTTCAGAGCAATGGCGCACATTTTCTTGGGTCTTCCGTTGATCTGAATTTTGATGGAAATTCCGGGGACATTTTGGAATTTACTCAATGATATTTTTTTCGGGGCTCGGATAGGGAGCTTACCTCAGGGTTTTAACGCCGATCGGCATGGAATGTGCGTCCTCCGCCGTGATGTGTGTCTTCAGGAACTGACAAAGGTCCCCGTGCTCTAGATACTCCATCACGACACAATACGGCTCCTCTCGGCAACATGCCCCAAGGACCCTGGCGATGTTGCGATCCTCGAGGGCTGCCAGGATCCTCACGTCTCGTTGAAAGTCAAGCCTGTCGAAAGTTTATTCAATATATTATACGAGATCCCGCTCGCTCGAAAGCAGGAGAGATGACAAACCGTCCCGGCCAATTTACATCTACACGCCCAAGCCGTTCGAGCATTAATATCGCAAATTCATAATCGATCATCAGCGGCCCCGAAGAAAAGCCAAGCTCCGACTCGCGTCCACCAAATTTCTCCCAGGCCGTCCTGGAGGAAACTTCCTTTTTTTACATCAGGTCTCGGGTTACCCCCGACACATTTCCTAACTACATGGAATTCAATTTTACGCCTTCAGGAATAATTCACGTCCTTTCACGCGTGGAGGGCAGTCGCTCCTACTTCGCCCTCAAAAAAAAATTTAAAAAACATGAAACAACACCCTGGTGGCTCCATCGCCGAAGTTCGCCAGGAGGGTTCGACGTACATCCCCGGCGCCCCAAAAAGCCAGCCCCGGTGTTAAATAATTCAGCCCCAAAAAATTGCGATACTTCGCCTAACCTCGATATACCTCCTGCTATCTTCCCCCTCTCGAAACTTCAAAATATCCAATTATTTCCAATTATTGATGTGACGAAATTGATTTTCTAGTCACGCATATATCGAAGGCTATAATACCGCGTTTGTAGGAAAATTTATTGAAGATCGCCCACGGGAATTTATTGGACGGCTCGATTGATCACCGATTGCGTCAAAGAGACCGGCTAAATTTCGATCGGCTGATTAAATCTCTGAGGGAAATGCTTATCTGTCCCGAATTTCAGGCGGCAGACTCGTGCTCATATTTTCTCCTACTTTGGGCTACTTACGATCGACTTACTCGCATAATGGCCCTCTCGCGTGATCGGTTAATGCCGCCGTTAACAAAACTACAGCGTTGTATCGATTTACCATAAAGCGAGGGAGAATCTTGCTTCGGCTGGGTATGCGATACCTACGGGTTCCCGTTTACATCCTCCGTGCACCCCTCGCCGTGTGTAATGGGTACAAGTCAGACAGGCGCTATGCAAAATAGGCTATTTGCTGTTAACCAAATGGAAGCGGACTTAATGCGCCCAACCGTATTAGAGAACATTCGTTTTATGCTCGGGGTATTCGAGGCTCGTTAAATTTTCCCTCCCGACCCGCAAAAGAGAACCCCATAACCGATGAAACCGGACCGCAGGACCAAGAGAGAGAGAGAGGGGGGATTTTGCGTGCATCATCCGCTTTCATCTATTCAGGATACCGGACTTCGTCCCCCTGGATGCTGAATCCAGGATGTGGATAAGCAGATAAGACGGCATCTAGCTATCTAATAAATTAATCGAACGATCGGTCGACGTGTTTACGCGATTTTGCCGCATTAGAGATATCAACCTGTGTGGCTCGCTTATCACTCCGATTACGACTCTCCGAGGTCGCAGGATCGGGACTAGGTCCCTCCACCTTGAATTTTTTTTTCCCGGCTTTATCTACTCATTTTCGATAATTTTGCAGAACTTTCACTTTGTCATAGAGATCTTGGCTGGATTAGTCATCTCATAGTCTTAAATCGAGATATTGATAAGGGAACATATTCGGCCCGTTTATACCGGATTTCAAGGGGAAAGAATTCTCTTTGAGGATTGAATCCTGATTTCAAGGAGACGCGAGATCAGACCGCCAGATCGGCACTAGTCTCCACTTAATTAATTAACCAGCTAATCGGGGTATTAGTATAAAGGTAACTCAACGGCTTCGTTAATTATCGGTACACGAAACGTGAAACTTATCCGTACGGAGGTGCTCTCGAAAAGCGAGGTCTGGGATCGAGAATCGGCGAGACTCGGTGGATCGATCCGCGCAATCAGCGATCGGCCAGCTAATTAAGTAATCACCCGATCGCGATATCGGAGGGTATAAATGGAGCGTGATCTCGAAGCGGGAGATGCAGCTTCCTGGTTGGACCTCTTGATTAAAATATTCACGTGCACTCGGGCATAATTGGGTCCGCCGTTAGTCGGGTGTCCTTTAAACGTCCAGGCAAAATCCGAGAGCACGGATTAAATCGTGCGGCCATTTATCTCGACTCGTTGATAAGGACCTCCGATCCTCGAATTTCAAAACGCCCGAGTAAACGATGCCCGGAAATTACCCACTTAAATTAACATCTCCTTTTAGATTTTATTTTCCGCCCTCTTTATTCCTCTCGAATGAAATCCACGTTTATTTTTTTTGTGGTTTTTTTTTTTCTGTCAGAGAGAACAACCCGACCCACGTTCTCCTTATCGGAAAATCCGTGGGAAAATCCGTAAAAGCGATGAAAAATTAAATTGGTTCTGTCGCGGACCGGCGGTGCTCTCGACGTCCGGGGCCGGAAAGAGCAAAGACTGGGAGCGACGCATCGGGGTCATATCGATCCCAGCATCACCATGAAATCAGAGTTAACGTTTCGCGTTCCAGTCGGGATTTACGACTCGGATTCCCGCCGCGAAGTCTGGCCGCGCTGCCATCGGCCGAGCCACGAGGAATGCAATATGCATGCGAATCGCCGCCATCAAGATTCAAGGGAATCTTTATAGTCGATGGCGACTGTCGAACCGAACTTGCCGGCGTCGTCCGTTCTCGAGGAAATTAACAGCCGACATGGCCGAGAGATTCCTGGCTGCCTTTTAACGGCCCCGAAGGAACGGCCTTAACGAAACGGCGCTAATGGTTTGCTTAATACCTTTCTCGATTATTAATTAATATTACGGCTAAAGGAGGGAGCAATTCTCATCGGGGTCTCCACGGTCTCCTTAGAATTTACCACGGGGTTGCATCGACGAGTCCGATCCGAAACGGCGCCGATCGTTCGGTTGCTCTGCTTCGTTGTTAAATATTGCTAACCGTTATTAAGACTCGAGGAGGAGGAAAATTTTCATGCCGGGAGGTGTGGGAACTCCCTTGGTCTCCTTGAAATTTACCACGGGGTTATATCGGCGAGGTTAAACTGTTAATACGGCGCGGTATTGTGGCGGATCCGCGAGCGGTTCCGCAGCATCAGCTGAAAAGCTCCACAGGGTGGTTTCCCGGGGGGCGGCATAATCGTTACCCCCGCGGAACAGTTCGCTGTAACGCCCGTGCTGACGATGGCAAATAAAAAGTTTCCCCGACAAATTGCGGCCGGGCTCTTTTGCAAAAACATTGACGGGGAGTTGGGCTACTCGTTTTCCGGGACTCACCGTCGGGGGTTGCGAGAGGAAATTCCGGAGAAACGTCTCGGGGTTTGAATTGCCGAGGTCTCTTCATGGCACCCTTCCGAGATAGACGCTCGAATCCGCAGGGTTTCTAAAAGTCCCGTTTGATATAGATATATTTCTTTTTTAATTCTCGCCGAGGGGGATTTTTTATTTCCGGGTAGTTATAAAATGGGGATGAAGAAGGGAGGGAAGCGGGATGTTTGTTGCGCTTTTTAAAGGGGTGTCAGGACGGAGTCTGGCCAGGGACGTGATATGGCCGCCGAGGCATAAAACATCCCTATCTCGCGTCGACACGGCATATCCCACGCCTTGCAACCCCCGTCTTTCCGTGGTACCGTTCATCCCTTCCCATTTATAATCCCTGTGCAAGAAGTCCACCCCCCGCGGAGTGCGTTCCCCGGGGGGCAAGGGAAGCGCCATCCCGGTGCAAGAAGCCCGATTCTTGAAAGCGAAAGGGGGTGTGGAGTCGAGGGTGCAGTCAAACGATAGGCCTCGAATTCGAGACCGAAAGTCGGCGTTCTCCAGAAGGAAACGTCCTGGAAAACGGGAAACTCTCCCCCTGGAAGACCTTAGGGTGGCAGTCAGGGTTGAAGGGCCCGAAATACTTCGGACTAAGGGATGCGAAAAGGGACGCGTGAGTGGTTTTATTTACCCAGGGTCTACCAAGATGGCGGCTTTTTTGGCCAGGCAATCTCACCCCAAAGCCTGGCTAAGCCGACAGGGGGTGGACTCCATAGGAGTGGTTTCCGTTCTCCAGGAATTCATATTTTCGGAATTTATTTGAGATGTTTGAATTTTCAAATTAATTTCCTAAGATCGATAGAGGCCAGAAGGATGCTTCCTCGTGTCTTCGGAGAAGAATCGCGACCCTATCGAGTGCTTATCGAGGGTTTAACGGGTTTTTATCAGGTCCAGCTATATAATTGACGGACCCCTCGATCGATCAGCGTTCGAGCCAGTCCATCTCCCTTGGGGAGGATCCCGGGAATCGGATCGAACCGATGCGACGATTGGCGGTCAGATCTGCGGGACTGTGTCATTGCGGACGAACCGTGGCGGAACGTCCGTCGGAGATAGGAGCTCCAAAGAGAGTCCGGCCCTATCTCCCGGTCATTGTATGCAAATTTTCTTTTCCTTTCAAAGAATCGTGGCGGCTGCCTTTTTTCGATGCCCAGTCCCGATAGCAGGAGCGAATAATCGGCCCCGGGTGGTACCTCGACGTGCCTTCGAGAAATTCGTCATAAAAACCTGAGGAGCTTGCCGACGTAATTGAAAGTCCCTGACGGAGTGCCGTCCCATTTCCTCCCTTCGAACACCTAATCACTCCGGCCGAGCCTATCTCTCTTATCACGTGGCATCACCTGATCCTTTCTCACCTGGGGATTCGATATTTGAGAACCCCTGCCTACTTGCCGACAAATTATGCGCATATAACAAAGTGTCGTGTCCTGTCGACGGACACTTTGAGCCTCTATCCTGGCCGGTAGTTTCTCCTCGCTCTTCCCTTTCGCACGCAGTGCAAGAAACATAATGGCCATGGTCCTAACGCGGCCATAGTTTCGCCTGCGAGCCTGCGTTAGGATTACTGGCCATTGTGCTAATCAGTTGCAAAGTGCCCCTCTCCATCGGCCATTCCTGTTCCACGGGAACAGGGGAGGCAGGCGAAGACAATAGTCGGCATCCCTTATGGATGGGTCCGGCGCGACGCCAATTCCATTTTCCCCCGGATTTGTGGAGAAATTCCGCCGACGGAAATTTTCCCGTCTTGGCCGCAACCTTGGTCCCAAAGAAAATCAACCACAAAAACACCGTCGATGTAAAATGAAACTTGCACCAAGTACACCCAATTGGGAAAGCATATCTTGCAAAGTCAAATCCATATAGTGGCGATTAATCGTACGAAAGCAATGGAATCAGTTACTTTTACCAGATAGCTATAGCTATAGATATTTTACCTCCTTCAGAGTTCACCGTGAGGTTCATCGTCAGGGAGCGAGGTATTCCCGAAGACGTCTTTCTTCGCTATTATTAATGGGGTCCATTTAATTGGGACGTCCCCAGGGATGGGGACCCTTTTCATGGAAGGAGAGGATCCAGGCGGGATGCACTTTACCGCGACCGATTGCGCCCACAAAGCGAATGCAAATGGCGGCCTTCATACTTACTTTTCCTTCTCGGTGGCTTCCGGCAGTAAAAACTTGACGGCGACGAGTCTCTTGCCAAGGGTGGTCGTGGTTCCGTACTCCGGGATCCCGTCAGCTTCCGCGACGTATACCTTGATTAGCATAAATTTCCCGTCCTTTACAAATCGCTAGGAGACAGTCGGAGAAACCGAGCCAAGATGGTGGACGAGGGATCAGGAGGAGACGCCGAAGTAAATAATCTTTCTAGGGACCCCGATCACGTTTGCCATTAAGCCGGGTCCCTGGATAAAATGGGGAGTCGAAACTCAAAAGTAAACTTTCCACTCCTCTCGTTACCGGAACGGACGTACCTCCTACATTAATTACCAGGTGCTCATCGACGAATTCCCCACAGTCAAAGAGTAAAATCAAATCTCCCCGACACGTTCAGCTCCCATAACCGGCATTCCCGTTGCAAGTGACGACTTCTGAATAAACAATTGGCAAATAGTAAAATAATTATAACCAACCAGAAGTCTCTAGATGGGAAGTTTTGCCTCCTCCTTAGCGATGGAATATTCAAGGTCCGGACCGTGACTCCTATCGCCAGCAAAAACGCGTTTTGAATAACTATCCCTCACTCGAATAAAAATAGGAAAGAGCGAAGAAGATTGGCGAGAAATAGCAGAAAAAGTTCTAAGTGGGCTCTCCATTAAGTAATGTCATCATATGCTGGAGAGGTCCGCTCTTAACCCGCGCGTCAATGTAACCTCTCGCGTCCGTAATTACGAAGTATTCATCGATGAGCACCTTCGACCATAAGAAGGTCAGGAGGTGAGGATCGAGTGACTGCCACCCTGAGTACCGATACGCGTACGTGCACGTACTCTCGGTACTCGTTAAAGGTATCCTCGATGACGCGAATCCGCAGAGCCGGAGGGAATTACGGGCCGCGGTCGCGCTAACTCGTTCCAAATGGTTTGCGGATTATTTGATCCTGTCCTCATCTCGGCCTCTATGGCTCGTTAATCTCCGCATTGTTGCCGCTTGACTAGGGCCGCCGTTAAACGGACGTCGTTTAACATGTGAAATTACTGGCAAACATCTCGACGAATCGAGCCGACCGCGCGCGCCTAATGGCCGGCGTTTAGGTCCTGATCAAGGGATCATCGGGATCCATCGACGTCCATCTCATTATACACGGTTTGCCAAGGCGAACGGTTAACGGTGCACCGATAAGTCGACACAAAATCGAGGAATTAGAATTTTATACCCCAGCGTCGATTTTTCATTAAACGTTCTCTTCAGCGTTAACCAACATGGACCCCATTCTCGAGTTCATACGAATACATCTCGCATACAAATAAATTCGCCGGATAAATTGAGCGCTGTTGCGAAGTTACGATCATTGATCAATTTTTGAAAGTCGTATATACGAAGTTGTCAATTTCGCGGGCGAAAGTTGATCGGATGGACTCGAGAATAGGGTCCCATTTTGTAGCGTCGTGGGCAAAGTGATGTTATCAAAATTGATAAATTCATCTTCCCTATGGGAATGTTATTGTATTGAATTTTTCTAACGATGCTGAGATGGAATTCTGACGTTTTAGTATGGTTTTGACGCTATGTTTTTATGGGGATGTCGGTATTGAAGTTTTTTTTTTTCGGGAATTGATCGGCTATCGGGACCAGTCGATCCAGCAGTAAGATGTTCGACGTGGTCGGCGGGAGTTCGCGTGCCTTCTGGGCTTCGTGATGGGCAAATGGGAGCCAGGAGCTACCGGGGATTGGCAATCGGGTCGAATATCGAGATGTCATCGCTGTGACACGTTACCGTCCCGAAGGCCCCCTCGGCGAGTTTGGACAGCATGCGAAGTCGGTGTCGTGGGAAGAGCGGCACGCTCGTCTGTTCCAGCCGCTTCTTCAGGGCCGAGAGCACCTCCTGTTGAGTCGGGGACTGGAACAGACGTTAATCGTATCGGTTACTTCGATAATCCACGATGGTCGGTCACGCCACGACCGGCTGGATCCCGTGGTCCAGGAAGAAAGGGACGCGCTGGATCAGCTCCAAGAGGCCGAGATGCGCCAATGCGCCTCTTCAAGGTGTACCTCCAGGAGTGGGCGGAGTTCATCCTCGGATTTAATCGGATATCGAATTATAGGGGATCGAACTGTCACCGCTAATGACAGGATATGACCATAAGAGTATCCGATTAAATCCAGGATGGATGATGGATGGTCTCGAAAATTCGGAAGCTGGGTGCTGAACCTTCGGCGATTTCTCAATATTTTTGGAGTGATTTTATAAATTCTATTTTCTTTTTTTTTTCACGTAGAGGAATTTTATACGTTTTCATGGCGACGACTTGGGTGGTTTGACCCAGTCCGGGATGAATATTTCCAGGACACGGCGAAGAAAGGAGACGAAAGGAGGCCTCATGGCGGAAGTTTTAATCGAATTTCGAGTGATCGCCGCCCGGGTCATCAGCGTTAATGGATCACCGCCGGCCGAATCTTTCCGGGAGCCGGAAGATGAAAATCCTCCATTGTGGACGGGAGCGGTTTGATAAAGCACCGGAGTCTCGGGAATAAAGACCAGACGAGCAGTATTGTGCGCCCTCGGGAACAATAATTGCAAGACGAGCGAATCGTGGGGGCGGAAAAGCGAATATTCCGCCTGGCGTTGTTTCCCTTTGGCCGCCACTTCCGAAGAGCTTTTTCGAGTCACCCTCGACCGGGGGAAAAAAGTTCCTCTCCCCTTGAGAGAGGAACTTAAAAACACTTGAACGGGGATTTCCATTCCTAAGAGTCGCGATTATAAGAAATAAAGACCCGGGGGTGGGACGAATTAACGTTCTAAAATTTTCCTCAACCAAGACCCGCTTAAGATTCAACCCTGTCTCAGCATCATCATCGGTTTATCGTATTCGGCTATCAGCATCTCATCATCCCCGTCTCTCGGGTCGGTTTAACACAACCTTGAAACTATCACCAGCGATCAGATCAGGATTCAACCCTACCTCAGCATCATCATCCTCATCCATCAGCTGGGTTCAACCCTACCTCGAACTCTATCATCAGCGATCGGATCAGGGTTCAATCCTGTATCGGCATCACCAGCATCGACCAGATCAGGAGCCGTTCCCGGAATGACCGATTAGCCCCATTCGGTAGGCAGATTTGGCGCACGTCCCACGTTTGGTGGATGAAATTCTCATCAGAGAAGGATTGAATAGGAGGGCTACGCTGTCATTGGCAGGGCAGGGTTCGATACGAACGAAACGTTTCCTGGCGCCCATCGCGGGACGTCAAAGGACCGAAAGTCATTCCGGCGTGCGGCGTCGTAACCGTGCTCGATTTCGAGGGTTTACGGCTGCGGGGGTGCGATCGCGGTTAAGCGTCAAGGGCAGGCTGGTTGTTATTCGATGGATGACATGTTTTGACTGTTTCGAGTGATCCCGTCAGACGTCCATCAGTCGCAGCCGCCCGGACGTGGACGAGCAATCTCGCGTCCCGGGCCTTCACGTCCCCGGGCCATTGTGTCGGAATTCATTCCCCCGGGTGCCGACTAACGACGGCCCTCCCGGAACAATGAATGCCGATCGGCGAGACCTGGATACCTTCCGAAACGCTGATGGCACGCGTTTGCAGTGGTCGGGGTGGTCACCAGGCCAGAATTGTGTGGGGAACCCGTGGTACCGGGACAACTGGACCAGGACTTACCAACGATCGCGATTGCGCCAAAATCCTGAAAATCGACGCGGAAGATCGAAGGATATTCCAAAGACTCTAAAAGAACCTGCTACACAGGCTGCCGGTGATACCTTGACGAGGATGCCGAAGAGTGGTATCAATCGTTCAATGATTCAGAACCTTCGGGCCATTCGGTTGTGCCCAACAAAGGGACCCTATACAACAAGCCGCCATAAAGTCACCCCGATCAGGGGATTAGGTCATTTCCTCCGGGACAATCATCGCCGTCTGGCCAGCCGAGGGTGGGAGCACGCTCCACATTCCAGGATGGGGTGGACGCGAAAGGGTTGACTGGTCATCAGGGTGCCTTTGGAGGTTTTGCCACGTTGCGGCCGTTAATTCGATGACCGTTAATCGTTTGGTTCTCTAGGGGAGGACCCCGGGAGACCGCTGACCAGGTCCATGGGGTGGAATTGAATCATCAGAGAGGGATGCAACATCCTTTTTAACGATATTCCTTGCCGATGGCGCCTTTTCGAGATCTGGGCGGTCCGCAGGACCTTTGTCGCAATATGTCACTCCATGTAATTCCGAAGACGCCATTTGAAGACTCGTATAATCCTGCTTCCACTCCGATGGGATCTGCGAGTCGGTCCTTGATATGCAGCGCGCGGAGCCCCTGGAACTCACCCCTTTCCCGGCTATGTGCGAACACGTTCCCACTCGACGCGGAGGGGCTGTTGCATCGGTTCCCGGCATCTGTTTCTCGGAATAAGAGAACATCCGGAGGACCCGTGGGAGATATATCTACCCTCGAAACGGTCCGCACTCGTTCTGGCGTATTGATTTGAATTATTAATTGGGAATCCTCCCCCGGAGGGCCGGCGCCGTACGTGCGGCCCTGGCTGCGCCATAGTTCAGCTCGATCCCGAGGGCGGCTCGTATTTACGAGAGACCCTCCGACCCCGCCGAGGTGGAGTACTCCTCAATGATTAACGCGTGTGCAGCACTTGTTCCCGGAGTCATCGCTCGCAAGCCCGGAATCCTGCGACCCCGCTGCTGGAGGATCTCGTTACTACGAAATAATCCTCCGGAGCGGAGTGCCCAGATTTTTTATAGAGGAACCACCCATATCCATTTCACTCGATTCTCGCCAAATCGAAGCTTGACTTCATATTGTGGGCATTTTCTAGATTTTTTCCGGGATTTTTTTATCTAGCATCGGTAATCCAGTTTTAGAGATCGGTGTAGAATGTGCTATGGATAACAGGTGTACCTTCTTGTCGTCGGTCTTGGTGCTGCGCGCGGAGCTCTTGGAGAAGACGCTCTCCTGGTCGCTGGTCCCGGTCCTGCTGCTTCCCTCGGGATTCAACAGCGGCACCGTGCCCAGTTCCGGAACGGCATAATCGTAGGATGTGTCAACGGCACCGTTCGCGTACACGGCTGAAGGAGCGAACGGACGAGATATAGCCGAAGGATATTGATTGCGGTTAGGCGAACGCTTTGTTGGCAGATAGCTACGTCGGCGTGCACCCTGGTAGGTGCATGCGCGTCTGCGTCCGAGAGGCGCATACCTGAGTGATTGATGTTGGTGCCCTTGCTGTTGAGCATCATGTCTTTCATCTCCATAACGACGGTACTGTAACTGTAGTACGGAGCGTATTTCAGGGCCTGATACGGTTCCTGGTAGTCGTCCAGCTTCACGATGTCCAGGAGCCGATTGCCCAGGTCGCGAGGCAGAGTGGGCAAGGAGCCGCCGGCGTACCTGAAGAATGGAAATTTTGAGACCCTCTGGTATAAAATCATCTTCAATACTTCCTGGCGTTAATTATGAACATTAAATTGGAATTTTCGGGACGAGGAATTAATAGGAACCGATATCGCACTCTACTTGATAAGGTGACGATATTGGATCTCGAGCACCCTGAGGAATCCTAAAAAATACCCTGAAGTACCTTCAGGGGTTAGGTCCGATTTTATTTTATTGTTAGATATTCTGTCATTTCTAAGTCTGGTCTCAATAGGTTCACGCCATCGATAGGGCCCTGTGTGATCTACCGTCGACTAGCATAACTCGGTGACTTCGTGACTGATTATAATGGCACGCCAGGGAAGTGGCACTCCATAATGTACTTGCGTCTTCCTGCATTCTTTATGATAATCACCCTAGCCATACTCGCATGCGAGGAGGAGTGGTAACTTCGGGATATAGTCAGACTTTCCCGATATTGGTTACATGGCTCGTTTATGTCGTCGACGGTCCCCTCGACCTCGCACACGTGAACAGGTATAGCGAGAAGTTGAACTCGGGAAATTTTCCGGAACTAATTTTCCACAAATCACGGCTTTCCTTCGTTCCCGCCTCCCTGGGATTCCTGGAAGAGCACGGATCCCCCCGGCATCCCTGTATCGTAAGAAGAGGTACCGGGCCACGTCATGGCGGAAACGTCCCCGCAGAAATGCCGGCGCCAATTCGCCGGTGCCATTTTCCCCGGGAAAACGGGGTCGGGGAAATTCATAAAGGAAGTAAACGTCCGAGGAGCCGGGCGAAAAGTTGGGCGAGAAAAGTTGGCCGGCCGCCGGCATTGTTGGTCCCGCCCGAGCGGAAGTTTTCCTCGGAGGGGAAAAGGGAGGCGAATATCGAAGATTAAACGGGGAGATCTCACCTCTCGTCGTCCTCGAGGGTGTACGCCATCAGGGCGGCGCCCTTTTCCACGGTGGCGCAGGTGGAGCCCAGGTGAGAGGGTGCCTTCCCTGTCATGGGGCTCGCGAAGCACTTGCGCTGCCTATGCCGGGATACTATCAGAAATATCGCCACGGCCAATAATAAAATCACCGCCGTCAGTACACCTATGACCACCGCCATGTATGTCGGGTCGTCGTGCTTCGCCGTGGAGACCGGAAGCTCTCCCTCCGCGGCGCCATTTTTCTCCACGAAGACGTCGCTCTGGACCGGCGCCTCGGTGGAGGGCGCGTCTTCAGGGGTGAAGTTTCCATGGGCTGAGTCTGAAAAAGAAAATTTCTTTAATTCAACAAATATTCCCCTCGCCTGTTGTCAATTTTCTAGCATTCGGGGGAACAGCTGATTCCAAGGATGTTGAGAAAATTGAAATTTCAGGTGCGGTACCATTTTCAGATCCTTGGTGATATTCAAGGATCAAGGCGCCTTGGTTCTCTTCTCGTTCCCTGTGGCGTCCTCGATTCCGTGAGTTTCAAGGAGCAACAACCATCCCTCGGGAATCCAGCGACCCGAAAGGAGCATCGTCCCGAAAATCGATGGGGGAGGCGCGAAACAACCGAGATTCCTCGAAACACGAATCCCACCCCCGTAGTCATTAGGGTCCTCGGGCGTCGCGTTCACCGCAGGTCTACCCTCAGGGGGTGGAGTACAGGGGTAAAAGGGGTAAACGCGAACCGTGTAGGGGGTCGTTCCGTCTCGTTTGCGCGGTGGTCTCGGGCAAAGGAAGGAGGGAAAAAAATCGGAGAGTCGCTTCCTCCACCCCGTTAGGGCTCGGGGGTGAGGGAGGCGCGGTATGCGTCCGTGAATTCCCGACAGGATTATCCGGAGGAAACAAAGCTGTCGTCGTGTTTGATATCGGCTTTTACGTGCCGGGAACCATCCCTGCCCAACCCCCGGCGCGTATGAAATCTGATATTAAACATTCTTTGCACGGCGCGAGTAAACCGAAAGGGGTGGCCATGGGTATGGGGTGGGCCCGTGGTCGCGGGGGTTGTAGGTGTCAGGTGCTATGGCGGAACCTTTTCCTCCGACAAGCTTTCTCGTAGACTGCGTCTCGGCGTTTTGTGCTACCTACGGTCCTGGACCCTAGGGGTGGCCACCTATGGATCTCTCGCTCTCCCTGCCTGCCTTTCGCGTTTTCTCGCCCTCGCTCGCCTTCCCTCCTATCCTCGCCCTCCGGAAACTCGCCGGGAATGCCAGAACTCTATGTACCGGCATTACGCGCTTGATATGTTGAATGTTTCGTATGTACTCCTCCCTGGTGGAAGAATACGTCTGGCGTATTTACGGCTCCCTCTGTTCCGTGTACCGGTGCACTGGAACTGTTCGGGAAATATGCTCACCCGGTATGACCCGGGAATGCACCCGAGGTCGAACCGCCGAGCATGAGCAATAATGCAGCAACGGTGCTGCGAATAGTATGTACGGGACGATCGACTCAGGAATTAATTATCTGGCATTTTTTCAATCATCATTCCGCGGGCAGATTTCGGATTCCCCGGCCCTAGTTGCTCGTTTCCGGGTTTTCGACACCCTGGGGGCGGGAACACCCCGGGTTGCACGTAAGCCTTCATATATCTCGACGAGGTCGGGAAAAGGAGAGGAAACGAGAGGGAGAGTCGTAATTTCTCCAGGAAATGCGCGGTGAAAAAGTTCCTCGGGTCCCTTTCCTCCTCTTTTCGGCCAAGGAAACTTTTTAAATATACTTAGAAGCTGGAACGGTGCGTTCCGTCGTCGATATCGCGGGTCTACTCGCAGAAACGGGAGCGAGGAAGACCACCTGCGGATATTGCGGTTGCAGCTGGGTGCAGTTTCCTTTTCAGGAGAAAAAAAATTCCTCCCTACGAATACTCGGAATACAAATGTGCGAAGATTACCGAGAAACATTTAATTTAAATGCAAAGCTTGGGGGGAGTGGGGTGAAAAGTGAAATAAAAAAATGGAGAACCAATTAACGTCGAGCAGCCGGCCTGGAAGCAATTGGACGTGAAAGACGATTTCAGGCCAGGAAGACGCGACACGGTTTCGCGTGTCCACCGAGTCGTCTCTTTATCCGTCAATGTCAAGTTACATTAACGGATCCCGGACGAGAACTCGCGGCGACCTTCGCCGCGTCGTCCCTGCACATGCAGTTGCAGCTGACGCTCGTCGTCAAATGCAACTAACGTGCTCCTTGATCTCAGGCACGCCTTCCATGCCAATTTTAAGCCCTTTGATTTACCGCTCGGAATGGAAATCTACCGTGAACTTCATTTCGAGGGCAACCCTCTGCACGCTCTGCAACCGTTTCCACTTTCCCTTCTTCACGTTTCGCAATTTTTTCATTTATTTTTCAACGAACACCGAGATGGGTCGTCGAGGTATCTCCTCGAGACAATTTCGAGACGTCCCTCGATCCAGAAAATCATGTCAATTAGGTTTAGGACGACCGGGATCCAATTTTGTGACATGGGCGCATCGATGCACCCCAGATGCACCGGGGCCACTGTTCACTGCCTATTTTGGGGTCTTTTAATTTAATTGAACTTTTTGTTGGATCAGAAACGTGCAGAATTTTTTTCGGGGAATTTTAGGGGTCGCGATCACTCCAACATGATCCGGGGTGATTAGAATTCAATTTGGCAGCATGGCCCCGCTGGACCTGCAGCCTCCCTTCAAACGCATTCGAGATGCACCGGGACCATTCAGCGGGATTTAGTCAAATGACCGTGGACCGTTCGCATCCGGCTCTGGGCCGTGTAATTACATACATTTGAGCAAAATTTAACCGCTTACAAGTAGTCAAAATCTTTACGGTCCTGCCGTGTCATCGTTTTCCTGAATGTCGTAATAACACGGCCGAGGGCATAACGATGCATAATCGCGCCGGGGCTCGTTTTATCAGGATATTTGAGGGACACCGTCAGAGGGAACTCGGGGAGCAATTTCGGTTTAGGGGGGCACTTTTTCATAAATCATGCAGCGGTATAATATGCAATTTTTCGCGACGAGGGGCGCAGTTGAATGGAGTGCACCATTCGGGGTGTTTTCCTTTCGGGCGAAGTTCGCACGGTGGGATGCGGTTGACTTTTGAAGAAGCCCTCTCGGCTCGTCGAGAGGTCGCATTGGCGGGGCGAAAAAAAAAAAAGAAAACTAGAAAGTCGATCCAATTAAAACCACCTCGCCACTCGAGGCGTCGCGACGCATTGAAAAGGGCGTCGGGTAAGAATTTCGATTTTGCGCCCTTTTCCGGCAAGCGTCGTCTTAGACCCCTGACTCCCGTCTGGAAGTGTCGAATGGCAACGGAAGAACGGAGCCCGGTGAAAGGAGGAAAAGAGAAAAGAAATAAGAGACTTTTTAAACACCGCAGACTTGACGCACTCTGATAAGACCCGAGAAAAATGTGCGTCCAAAGAAGCCCGCGAAATGCACTCCGGGAAAATAAATACGAAAAGATTCCGTCCCTCAAATCGAAACCCTTCGACTACCCAGATCAAGCTTTCCCTTTCCAAAATGTCAAGATCTACAAAACTTTGGCACCCGGTTAAAACATACTACGTGAAGCGCGATTATATAATAAAGCGAACGCAAGAAATGCGCGAATAAAATGATATAAAATGCCGAAGCAGGGAAATGAAAATGGAAATGGGAATAAAAAATCGGAGCCGCTCAAACGAGGTCGGATTAATTGGAGAACCTCTTTACCATTCCTGAATATCGGGATTTAGGAATTGACGTGGATCTCGTCGGAGCGCTGTAATGGCGTCTGGCCAACATGGGCCGCAACAATGGCGGCGGACGGAATGCGGAATACGGAGCGGAATAATCGCGGCCTTCGAGGGCGCATCGACAGGGCTGAAATTTGGCCGGGTGAAAAATGAAAGAGATATCCCGGCCATGAAATGTGATATCGATATTTGCTGGGGACCAGGGGTGTTCCCGAGGGGGTGTGGGGGTAGTGCTGGTCCAGGGATACCCCGGGTAGCCCCTGGACGAAGTAGACTGGATGAAGCGTCATTAGCAACTGTCTGAACGAGGCTGGTCCTCTCTCCTCGTATGCTATCACGCGCTCGCTTCCTCTTCCTCTGTTCTGGTACCGACGTGCCCGGCACAAAGGCCGAGTACCCTGTCACCCTCTCGCTCGGTCTCCCGCATCGCCCCATCGCGCCCTCTCGGTCCCCCTCGCATGATGGTATCCCTCGCACATTAATCGGCATATTTCCCGGGTTTACCTCGTAACGCTTGCACACATTCAATTAACTCCCCCAAAGCTCCGCCGGATGTTTTGATGGGCTTCCTTTGATACTTTCTCCCGATATTCGGGAGAAGGAAAGGGAAATTGGAGAGGGCGAATTTCAGAGGAAGACAAGGAAAAGAAATGGAATGATATTCCTGCGCTCTGAGGTACATGAAATTTTTGCAGTCTGACTTTTCTCTGCACCCGAAGAAAATGATTCGGTCCAGTAAATGAAGTTTTGTTGGTTCGTTTTAGAGGCGTATATCTTAGGAGACTTTTTATTAATCGATCATTCTTGGCATTGTGATTTTTTTCATGGGGAATATATTTTGCGCGTGTCCGGGAATTGCGGAGAGATTGGCTTTGTTCTTCCTTCCATGTCCTGATAAATGCCCGAGAGGAAGGGAGAGGCATCCCCTCGGACGAGTATTGCTTAATTTAAATCACCGGCTGACAGATCCTCAATAAGCTATTGTCAATTACTGTATATCAATTTTAAACTGCGCCGGGTTTATTTTTCCCTGATTGACGGACGGCTACGAGAGGCATTGGCAGACTCCGAATCGAAATGAAACGACGGATCCTGTAAAGAGGAAAAATCCTGCCGACGCTTCCGGCGTCCCGACGCGTTTCATATACCGGCGACGCTTCTCCCTGCACCGGTCTACGTCAAATGCAGAATCGCGGAACAAGACGCGCGATAAACAAAATTTCACGGAAAACAAATAAACGGAGGAAAAAAAAAGTGAAATTGACTCACCGGAATCGAAAGTGACCTCGCTGATCATGATCCACCGTGCCGAAAAGTGAAGTCGAAGCTTCACAAATTTCCCGACTCGGTGATGCAGCTTTATCGTGATGTTGCGAGAAGTCTCGAAGATCTTGTCCTCCATGTATGTGTACGTGATGGGCTCCCCGGTGTAATACTTGCCGCCGATGCTGAAGAGAATGTCCACGTGGGAGAACACCTGGAAATTTAATTTCCACCTTATCAATGTACGAATGAAAATTTCTAAAATCTTTTTCAGCCCACTCAGTAGCACTCTACACATTCTGAGGTACTATCACGAGTTTGTATATCGGGTTCCGTCATCGAGGAACTTGAATGAGTGGGACCTGATCGGCCACGCTATGTAATAAATATTCGAAGGGCGCGTTGCGATTGAAATTGATCGATGCGATCGATGGAAGTGAGATGGAATGTCGACCCTGAAGAGAATAAATTTCCCGAGCACATGGGTGCTCTTTGCAAGCCTTTCGGTGCAGGATTCCAGGTGAGGGGGTGGGGTTTCGCGATTTCCATAGACGTTATAAAAGTTTAATATGTCTTTAAAGTTTGATGGGGTATATGATCCGGTTATAAATCAGGGGTGTTATCCGAAGAGGAGAGCCCAGCCGCCCCCAGGAACTTCCTCTCTTATTCGCCTTTTACCGAGAGAAAAGTCGGGCTGAAATACACCCCCCAGCCCGAATCGAAATGGCCGCGATCGATATCGAATTTGCCGATCTCACGGAAAGTCTTCGCCCTCTGGATTTCAGGCTCTCTTTCATCCCTCGACTGGTCGGGCATTAAATAATTAAAAGGAAATTCGCCAACCCCCAAAACGCGTCTACGTCACGCGACAAAACCGCGCCGCGAGATCGTATAATATTATACGCGACACGGAAAAAAGTCCTCAATCCCGCGGCAGATGATATCGGTTTACACGGGGGCTTTTGCGTCCCCCTCTGCTCCAGGTGTACCTGCGCAATTCGGATTATTCCCCACCTGTGTCATACACATTTTTGGGAACATCCCCCTTTGGTCGCCCCGTAAAATTCACGGCCGTAAAAATCCTAAAATTCTGTGGATCTTAATGAAAATTTATCAGAAAACTCAAAATAGCCATGTTATTGTATTCCAGTGAATTTATAATTAATTAAATATACAATAAATTAGGTAGCCGTATTTATGAGTATTTAACGGAAAATTCGAATTATTCACCTAGTGGGGTATATTAACAAAAAAATTCTCTCCACGTATGATTAATTTTTTTAACTGCGGTTTCCTTTTGACGTGACTCGCGGAAGCTGATAAAGAGAGGCGGAGGTCCTTACGCGATATCAGGGAAACTGCGCTCGAGTTCATGTATAAAATTTTCCGCTGGCAGGCAGCGATACGTCAATATTCCGGGGAAAGGGGCATATCCGAATTCGTTTGTGATGGCAGAGGGTGGAGACCGTCGAAAAGATCCTCGGTTCGGCTGCGGTGTGCGATTGAAACGGGTTGGGAATATTTGTGCGCGAGTCAGACGCAGGCAGAGGCCCTATTTATCCGATATAATAATATGTGAAGGAGGACGGAAGGGGGTTGAGATGCACCAGGAGTCCCGGTCCCCGAATCGAGAGGAGATGGGACATGGCGTGAAATCGACATGGCAGCGGAAAAAGACCAGGACATCCGGGATGTTAAGTAAATGATAAGAAGAACGATAAGGGAGAATTATTCCAGGGAGGAAGAGTGTCCTCGAATTCGGGGAAAAATGAAGGGATTATTAAATTTCCTATTCATGGGGTGCGCATAATTCTGCACTCCCCTGCGATAACGAGCGTCTTTTCTTGGAGATAAAGTGCATGTCGGAGTCAATCCCCCGATTGGCCGAATTAGCATAATTGTCCATTATTGCGCCCACCCCCGAAAGTCATCCGAAGTTCCGGCAAACTCGCGCGCGGTATGCATAATCGTTGATAACAATTTCGGACGACTCCAGTCTGACAATAACTCGGATGAGTGAGTCATTACTGAGGCGGCAGCTTTGATCCTTGAGTAAATGAGTTAGCCGATTCCTAACTTGCATGATTCCGCCGCCCCGGGTGCATCCGATGACGCTTCGAATTTCTATGCACTCACGGCGCATCGCGATAGGGTATCGCTCGGTTTTGCGACGAATCGTCCAGTAATTAAATTCAGTCATTTAGCAGCCAGGGTCGTTTCGGGTTCGTCTATGTACCTCAGGACGCGGCGGTTTAGAGGCGGCTCCGATAGGGCCGCGGAAGTACCTGGTCCAGAATGCATAGGTTTTGCATTTAATGGAATGCACGCGCCGCTGTGCACCGGTTATGAGTTTGGACACCGTCAATATCCGGGGGCATCGCGCCTCCACCCCGTCGCGATATACCCGCGATATATCCGCGATATATCCACGATGCACCGGCGATGCAGCGATGCGGTCTCGCGAAAGTCGGACGGACTATTCGCGAGTGCAGCGCGCGGATGCACCCGACGATGCGTTGGGAGAGCTCGCAGGTGAGCCGACATGACATTATCGAAAGTGTATCCCCGGGATCGCGAGACCGACCTGGCCGGTCCGGAAATTATGGGAATCGAAACGGACGCGAAGAACGACCTCGCAATAATTCGATCTCGCCTAAATGCATTTCCAGCTGCAGCGACGCGCCATATCGGGACGACTAGATACTCTTTCTTTCCGGGATGACACTTTTTCATTGCAACCATTTTTCCTTTGCTAAACGTGCAAATGTCATTTTTCCCGCGTGGGAATTTTCTTGCTCGTCGTGGGAGGGTTAATAGAAAAAAAATGGACGTCACCGGGGGATTTTCTTGGAGACGTCGGAGGAATCACTCGAGCTGTCGGAAGAGATGCGGAATCGAGACGCGGAGAAGAGGGGGACGGATATAATGGAATAATGCCAATGAAGCGGTAGTGGATGTCGGTATCAAAACGTGTCGGCTGGCTGCGAGGTGCCACGGCGAAGTTGGGTGTATTGGGATTCGGCGGGCGTTCCCTTGATAAAGCGTTGAGTGGAATATTCAATCAAGCGGGGACGGAGAGCAGCACGCGGGGAAGACGTCGCGACTCGTCCTGGAGGACGGTGAAAAGGAGACGACGAGGAGCGCCGTCGCGACGCTGCCTCCTCGTCGTGGTGTTCGTGTCGGTAAGCCTGTTGATCGCTCCTCGGATGGTTGGCTGCCTGCTGCTGCTTAAGTATTCCGCGGGCTGTCCTATACCTTGGATACGAGACACCGAACCAAGCGGAAGCGCCTCCACCACGGATATTTATCCATCCGGAGAGCGATATCTTTTCCGATTCAGGAAGTGCAGAGTGTCGCACTCTGCGTCATGCGTTAACGAACCGAATTAAACGTAATGGAATCGATGAAATTGAAGAAGAAAAATCGGATCGTGAAAGACGAGGCAGGGCAATCCGACGAGGTAACGAAACTTGTTCATTTTCATTTTAGTAAAACTCGAAAAGTAGAATTTATGAGAGGAAATCTTGGAAAGTACATCCTGGATTTTTCAACCATCAAGTTGGAGAACGAATTCCGGAATTCTTTTCCGGAAAAAGTGAGCTCACCTGGACATCTTTTGTGAATTGATTGTTGCAGTATATGTGAACCGCGGAGAACTCTCGAACGCGGTCGAACTCGAACCTGATCTCGACGGGCTGACCGAACCTGGTGTCATTCCTCCAGCCGACCCAGCCTTGGCCACGATCGTGAAGGTATCCCATCTTGAAGTTGTCAGGTCCAGTTCTCCCATCGGTCAGTTGTCCAAGTCCTCTGCGCAGGTCGCCATCCCAGTGGCCATCGTAGGTAGCATCGAAGAATTCCCATTCGTTGCCCCTTTTATCTCCCTGGGGCATAGAATAGGAGACGACGCCATCTGGAATCCGCGACAGATAAAAATAAAAATAAGCCCAGTACCGGCAAATTTATCCATATCAATAAGGAAAGGAACAAAAAAAAAGTCACTAATCCAGGATATCCGGAAATCCAGGACGAGCCGACAAGGAGCAACAAGTTGACGAGGAAGGGCTCGATATTCCATCGTTCGACGACCTCGAGAATCCTTCCCGCTGATCTCTGGAGATTGATTTCCCTCCCAAGGCTTTCTAGGGACATCAAAAGGATCTCGAGCCCCCGCCCTCGATCCCGGCATCCTCGAGGAATCGATGTTTCGTAGACAAATAAAAGGCGGCACATGAATAACCCATGAACCACTCGGCTGCCAGTTAACGTGGAAAAGCGATTTTCAGCAAGGGATATCTCGCACGAATCCGAAAATCTCCATCCCTGCTCGCCTTGCGATCCATTGAGTCCCTTTTCCGCCCTTACGTACCGTGCGCTTGGTTAAGCCCCGGAAAAAAGGCGCCGATAACTGGAAGATAACCACTCTCGGCGTTTCCCGTTCCAGGAAAAATTCAGAACTCGGTAGTTTGCACATTACGAGTGCAAATCACTGGGCGACAATGGTATCATTCCAGGGGCACTCATTTCGCTTCGCTCGGACGCGAAATGCACGTCTGGTGGAGGGACGACAGCGATTTACGAGGCTCCAGGTAAATCGATGTCTCGTAGGAAATAAAAGGCGCATGAATAAGGCATTAAGCATTGCCTGTTAACGTTCCATCGGGAAAGGCGATTTTCAAGTCGCGTGACGACGAGCGGATGAAGAGCTCGACTGTTTTGCCGCTCTGGAGGATATTGGAAATAATCCCATTTGCCTCGAACATTTAAATCCAGTTTTCGTAGGAACTCAAAGATATCGTGCGAACGAAGCATTAAGCTCTACCTGTCGACCCTGCCCCGAGAGAAATGATTTTTAATTCCTTCGGGAACTGAACGCAAATTTCTTATAAGGAACCGAACGCTAAAAGTTCAAACTCAAAGGATCAGTTACGTGATAAAAATCTTCACAGCGATGGTATATAATTTTTAATTAACCCACCGCTCCAATAGCATCCGTAGAGTTCGACTCTCATGCAGACGGTACGCCTGTGGTAGCTGTACGGCAGAAAGCGAATTTTGCTCGCCCAAAGTGGAGGGTCCAACTCGTGCTTGGACTCCAGGTAGGTGTTGGAGTTGCCCTTTATCACCTGGAACGAGGTAAAAAAACCAGAGGTTAATTCGTTAATTGCTTAGAAAGGAGACGAGTCATTTTCCCGAGGTAGGTATCGCGATTGCCCTTCTTCCCGAATCTCACCCCCGAGTACACAGAATCTGCAGGACACCACCCACCCCGAATCAATCGGCGATCGGTACACCGATAATCCCCAGGGTCCCCAATCGATGCCCCTTTCCGCGACCGCGACACCGGGGGGTAACGTGTCGGTTTATCGAGGAGCTCGCGTAACTGGTGGTAAATAATTCACCCCTGGGCACTCCTTCTTCGGGAAGCATTCCACCCCCGGCGCGTTAAACGCTCGTCGGATTCCCCTCCCGTCCCTCCCAGAGGCTGGGGGAGGCATTCCGAAATGTAAGCAGAGCGAGCCTCCCAATATTGATTCCGTTTTGTAGGCTTATGAATAAAATAGCCGAGGAGAATGGAGGGTCACGCGAGGTGGAGTTCCAGCTGGTGACGAGCAAAGTCGGTCCCGTAAAAAATTGCAAAGAGGCAAAAAGTGCAACGGGGCATGTCTAGAGGATGCAAGACCAAGATGGTCTAGATACAGGGGTGCAGGGTGCAGGTGAGCACCCAAGAGGCCCCAAAGGGTGCAACCTAGTCGCGTGACGGACGTTTTGCGGCCGGCACGACATTCCGTTCACGTTCCCGATGTCGCCGACACGCTCTCCACGTCGCGCCACACCGTCGACGTGGCCGACGTCGCGACGTCCGTCGTCGCCCCCGCGCTTCCGCGGCCCTCCGCTCACGCAACCCTCCGGTGACAGAAATCACCCCCGAGGTGTATCGCCGACCTCTTTTCACGTCCACTCGTGCGAGGGGATTTTTCCCCCCAGGAGGGGATTATTCGTCACGGCACGCTGCCCCCAGGGGGGTGAAATTTAAAGTCGAGATTTAATTTCCGAATTTCTTTAACACGTAGAAATTACAAGGGAATTTCATTTTTCGTGGATTCCATGGTGGTGTTTCGAGGTGGGGTCGATTCTTCCTCGTTTCGGTACACCTGGGGCCACCCCTTCAGGACCACCCCCACCCCGCGGTGGCTGTAACGAGCCGAGCTTGTCCGACGGCTTACGGGGGGTCAGGATTGTGAGACGGGTGTATATTTCACGGAATTTCGGGGTATTACTTTTCATTACCCACCTGCAGCTCCGGAAATGCGGGGGAGGGGCGCGACGGTTCGGAACGGCAGTAAACCCTTACTGATCCTCCGCGGAGTGTCCGGGAGGGTGCGATTTTCAGGGCCCGACAGGAAACGCGGGATGGGGTGCCCGTCTACCCCGGGAACAATGCCGGAGGCTGAAAAACGCCGTCCCCCATTTTTTTCCCACTTTTTCCCCATTTTCTTCCCTTTTCTCCCCTTTTCTCCCCATGAAAGGAGCAATCAGGGAAGCGCGAGGGTCTCGCCAGGAGGCGAATCGCCGGACTCGGGCATCGAGGACACGTGGACTTTCAATTTCTGAATTTTCAATTCCACTTTGACGCCAGGTCCGCTCCTTTATAGCGGTACTTAGTGCGCGCCATTATCGTGGTCCAGTGTACCGAGAGGGAAAAAAACCTTTTACACGCCCGGCCGCGGCTCTTGGCTTCCGATATCTGCATAACATAATGAGCCATAACTTCGAGTCCCACTCCCTCCGCGCCGACTTTACAACTGATATCCACGTTCCGGCCACTTTATAATCTCCCTTTCTGAACTATCTTCGACGTGTATGCGCGCTAAGTAGCCAGTAATTACCGGGGGTTGTTCGGGACCCTGCAACGGGAGCCATCTAGCGGAAGAGGCCGCGCGTGATTTAATGGCGTCGCCACCTGAAGATTTTAACGACCGACTGCCTTATATCGGCGACGTTATTTCCTATCGGCCAAAGCGGAACGACGTCTCCTCGGGGGGTCTGTCGTTTCCCCTTTTTATATATACGTATAGAAACTCGAGCCGTCACCAGGGCATTGTAAAAGTGTCTGCACCGGACGGTCTGCACGCGTCCAATATGGCGAACGACGATACCACCGCCGCCAGAGAATGTAAGGTTAATACGGATCTTTTACACGTCGTGAGACGGTATAACCCTGGCTGGGGAGTCGTTACGTCATCGCCCCTTGATACCAATTGAACTTCATGGACCAAGGGAAAATATTGCTGGGAAGTGCGCAATGGCTTTATTAGGGGCCTTTCGAAGGGCCTCGATCGAAGATCCCCTCTGAGATGGCGAGCCGGGGATGATACCGGAAGTTGGCTGGCTGCCCATCCGATTTGCATGGAGCTACGACAAGGAGCTTGTAATTCTTGGCCCTCTCTAGCCGAAACAAGCTGAATCGCGGGACCTAGGGAGGGTCGTCGGAGCCCTTGAAAAATTCGAGCAAACGCAAGCGCCATCCTAAGTGAAGGATACGCGAGTCGGAGAAGTCCATAAGTTACGATCGGCCGGTTTTTTTGCAGAATCTAGATGCATAAAGCGGATTTATCGGGAACGCGCCATCTTGGCTCCCGAAGAGGACGCTCCATCACGACTCGGCGGCGCGCGCGACTTTCGGGCTTTTTAATATCTCTTTTCTTGGCGACGCATCGCGGGGCGCGGGCCGTATCTATCAGGGATATCTAGAACGCGCGTCCCCCTTTTCTTATTTGACATTTCGAGCCCCCTTTGCGGAAGCTTTCCATCATTACCTCGCCTCGGCCCCTCGGCGTCCCTGGCCGCATAAATGTGCGCGATCACGATGTATCAAAGATGGATGGAAAGGCAGGGACGTCGCGTGCGATTCCGCACGCATTCCGCTCCCTCTCACGCACGGCTTTTTCCTCTCGGCCCGTTATTATCGGATTTTCACGGCGTTTTTCTGCGCCGGGAACCAGGAGGTTGCGAGGAAACGCTCTCGCGTGACCGCCCAATGGCGGCCCGATCGAGCGCTCCTTTTTCCTCCCTTTTCCCGGGCCTCCCCCCTCGGCCAATCATTCACCCCTGTGATCTCCACCTGGAAATTGCCGCTCTTATTTCCGAAGGACCAGGCGTCGAGGCATTACCATACGCGATAGACCTGAAATCAGGACCCGTGGCCGGCAATTACACTCCATCAAGTCGCCGACCTGGACTCGCTATCACGGGCTGATTACGCCGGGTAAACGGGTTAAGTAACGAACGAATCCGGTCGGATGTCGAAGAGGGAAATACCTGGTAAAGTTCTCCCCCTTATCCTTAATTTTTCCCAATTTTTCTCCGTTTCTCCCTTCACAGGACTGCGTCCATTTTTTCCCCACTTCCTGAGGTGGTCTTGATGATATCGTAGCGCGATATTTCCTCGTATAAATCGTTGCTTTTATTCTTTTATTATTACATCCTCTACTTTATATATCATGGTCTACGTTCAAGGGATCGGAGGATCTGGACCGCGTCGAGATCTCTTCGCTCCGGAAGAGAGCCTCGTGGTTCCGGTTCTCCGGAGAGGAGGGCCGGATCGCCGGAAGGGGGACCCAGTTCGCGTTCGTTTCCGGTCGGTGGTGGCCAAATTTACTCGATTCCACGAAGCGCATTTAATTCCCGGAGTCGATGGACCCATAGGGAGGAGTCCCGAGGGCTAATGAGAGCCGGCCCGTTGCCGCGCGTCGCTTTTTCGCGCTCGCTATTTATTATTAACGTCGGCTCCCCTCTTCCTCGACTTTCGGAAAAGGAGAGCTTTTGGCCGCGCCTCAAGCCTTAATTACCACTGGCGGTCTTTTGAAGCTGCTCGTGAAGTAGCTCGCCACGTACGCCGACTTCCTCCCGCTCCGCCGACGATTATTATCACGGGCTCGAAACTCGTATCGCGGGCCGCGACTGTCGCGCGACTTTATCACAGGGGCATGCAAATCAGAGGAAAGAAAAATCTGGTCCTTCCTTCGAAAATTCTAAATATCGCTCATTTTCAGGGACTTGTCATGGCGCCGCGACTGGTATCGCGTTTTCTGAGTCTCGTCGAACTCGGGCTAGCATATCGCGGCGACATGGAAATTAATGGAAAAATCTCCTCCTTCCGCGAATAGTCGGTCCCGCGAGTTCGCACGGATTGCCTCGAATAATGGGTACACGTCGTCGAGCGGCCCCATTGTTGCGCCCATCGAGGGTTCATCTCTCGCTTTGTTATTCCAAAAGGGTGAGTCCGTCGGTTTTCCGTATTTCGGGATTTGCGCTTCGGCCGAGTCTTTTTCCGGCCTTTCAAATGTTGCTCCTGACCCTCGATGCGTAACGCGGACGGCATTTCGCTGCGTCGGGCCAGAAGGTAGGAAGACCATTTCGAGTTGCCGGGACGAGGAGGAATTTTTGCAGATTTCAGTTTTCGGTATTTCTCCGAATTCCCTCCGCGGAGCAGGAAAGTGCTCCTACGGCTCGGTAAATACCGCCTTTCCGCGCCGATAAAAATTAACACGCGGCTGCGTTCCATTTATTTATTATTTCCCGTCGAGCCTGGTCGAACGGAGTCGCGATAAGCCGTTTCGCAAATTTATTTTTCGGGGTCTTCAATTATTTTCCAAAGCGCCCTCCTGTAGCTCTTCGCGGATGATTCAGTGCCGAGTGGGACCAGAAGTACCGTACTTCTCTTCGGGGTTCTAAGCTGAATCAACTCGAGACATATCCATCAGACCCGTGCAAAGTCGAGTATATTTATCGGGACTTCGCGGAAGTCTAGGGGAACGATAAATCCGAGAAAGTTTACCTTTCCGGCCAGGGGGTTCGCTTTTTCCGAAAGCGCGCCATCTCCGGCGCTTCGTTTCGCGAATTGGCTCGGCGGGCTCGCAATAAAGAGCGGAAAAGAGGCCTTCCGCTTGTAAATAACGCCGGCACTTCCGCCTGTGGAAGTGCGTCAGCGAGCTTTCGACGAAGGGCAATAAATGCATCTTCTGTCAGCCGGAAAGAGATCGCGTCGGTAAAAAGCCGAGGCCGGTCAAAGGAACTCGCGGATAGATGCGGAAAGATATCCCGCGGATTCCGCGTATGGAAATTACGAGCTTACGAGCCGGTTCCCCGAAGCGAGCGCGGCGCGGAATCTGCGGAATTAAAATGGATGCCGAAAAATGAATGGGCGATACCGCATTTGAATTACCCGCGCGGCTCATTTTAATTAAACTGGATTGTTAACGTTAATTATGCACTTTACATCCGCGAGGAGGAGGCAGTTCGGGAGAGGTGGACGAGGTTTAATTAAATTGGATTTTTAATATTAATTTTGCATTTTCACGTTCGTGAAATTCGGAACGGGTAGATGTCAAAGGAAGGGAGGTAGAGTTTAACAATTGAGAATACCGTGGTAGAGAGGGAAATCTAAGTACCTTAGCGAAGGTACCGAGGTACTTCGGAAGAGACTCGGAGAGTCCAGCGAAAGAAGCGTAAGTTTCAATGGAGAACCCGAAGCAGTCCACCGAATCCGGGTTCCAGAGTCTCGAAACTAGGCCGGATATTTCGGCTAAGCAGCTTAGAGGAACACACCTAAGAAAATCCCATCTGTAATTTTTCTCCACTGGGAAGTCTTTGAGCAATTCTCGCGCAAGATGGCCAACGCTCACAAAGAGCCTCCGGAAATAATAAGGAACCCTGGCTTGCCACTTTAATCGTAAATTGAATTATTATTTTAGGTACGATCCCGAGTGCACGAGTGGCAAGTCGGATCCAAGAGTCGACGCTATTTCGGGACCTCGCTAAAGCCAGATTTCGCGTCTGAAGACGCAAAGAGATCCCAAAGGGTCGCGCCATCAGAAGAGGTTATGTTGCCCCTCGCTCTTACACTCGGATCCCGTTTCCGCGTGTACAGTCGCACTTGCGGACACATACGCACACGCGTATGCGTTCTCAGGGAGAGGATTATGTCATAAATCATGATACGAGGATGGTTTGCGTACACTTCTGCGTATCAATGAATGGCGCCGGGCAATGCCCTCGTTGCCGATGTGGCCGGCCTTAAACCTCCATTTTGGATATAAATCGATATAAATCTCTATATCTCAGTTTTTCTATCCAAAGTACAATTGCCAATGGGATCTCCTTCGCGTCTGAAAAAATCCTGATTCCGGGGGAAGGAGGAGACTTAACGTCCAATGACAATTAATACAATCCGATTTGCGATCGTTTAACGGATCTCGTTTTACGGCTTCTTTTACGGGTCGTCCTGCGTACGGGGACGTCACACTTTTTATTCATTACTTTTATTTCCTCGATCGAAACTCGTCGATATTTCGAGTCTCGTTCAGAGTAGGAGGGGTCTTCCTAATAATACTTATCGGCCTTGCTTCGCTTCGTTCTCCGGGATTTTAAGAGGCCAATTTCGAAGAGTCGTAAAGGAGGATCTTAACAGGATTTTTCACGGCGATTAAACCCCGCCCCCCNGAAGAAGGAGTTAAAGTCGAAAGTATTTCTGGCCTCACCCCAGGGGTGGGTTATGCGCGGACGCGCTTCGCCTCCTCGGCGATCGTTTGTAACGAGTCGGCGTTAATTGGGGGGGTTTTATGCCCCTTCGAACTCTTCGGACCCCCCTGGTCGCCCCAGCTCCCCAAAACTTCCCCCACATTGTCTCGAAAAATCACGAAATTTATTTCCAAACCAAATCCGGGAAGTCATTCCAATTCTGCCTTTCCCGACTTAACGCTTCGCTTCCAAATCAATTTCTCTTGTACATCAATTTTCGAATTTTTTAAACCATGGGGCAGAATTGACATTGAAATCAAAATTACTGATTGCAGATTTTCCAAAAAGTCTGCGCCGTAAATTAATACAAAACACGGTTACATCTACCTACCTCTTCACCTTTCACGTCCCTGTACCGCACCCACTTGCCGAGGTGAGGTCTCCAGTACTCCAACAGGTAAGCCTCAGCATATTCGACACCAACGCCATTGCCGAATCTTCCCTGGGTACCGGTGGCGGTGATCATGTGAACTTTGCGAAGATCGATCTCCAGCCATTCCTTGGGCTCGGTGGTGATTTGGTTCTTTGGGCACCAGGCTCCGCCATGATTCTCCGTCCTCAGCCTGGAACGAGAAGGAAGGTTGGATTAATGTCGGCGATCCGAGGAGCATGCCGCTTCCTCGGTAATGGGCGGCCATCTTGGTTTGGTCTTGGTCCCGCGATCTGGACCAGCACTAATGGCGAACGCCGACCAGCTGATAGGGCTTAGCCCGCGGTCGTTTTCGCTGCACGCGCAAAGAGCCGTGCTTTAGTTTTAATCTTGGCGGAAAAGGCGGCGGGGGCGGGGGGCCATTCGCACATGAATAAAAGATGAACCTCGGGAACGGCGTGCGAAGCGCCTTCCCTAATTGCGTCGACCGTTCACCACTCGGCGCAAAAGCTGTCCCTCGCGAAAGAGCGTCGCTAATAATCACGTTTCGCGCTCATCGGGCGACGCCGGTGACATGGCGTCGCACCCTGACGAACTGGTTGAAATGGCTGGAAATTCGAGGACGTTTTGGAGAAGCGAGACCGACTCGAAGACGTCCTTCTATGCCCATGTCAAGGATTAATCGGTCCCCAGAATTTGAGCCCTGGTCCTGACTTTATACGAATTTATTCCCATTTTATATGAAATTATTAACATATCTCTGCGTCGAATTCGAATTACTCGGTTAGGGTAATTTTTAGCTCCGTCTTCGTTTTATGAAATCGGTTATAGAGATCGGTTGGCTCGGAATTTGGCGAGAGAAATTTTGGGAGGACGTCGCCGGGGAACGATATCCCGGGGTAGAATTAGTTCGCCCCTGGAATTTCAGGCCGGGTCATGATTTCGTCAAGCAATTTATACCCCGTTTATGAGTCAGGTCATAGAGAATCCGGCGGGTCCCCCGACAGGTCGTACAATTTAAGGTTTCCCGATCTCGAGTCTCGCAGGAACCGAGGGCCACGATCGATCAAACGTCAGACACTTTGATTACGGTGAGTGCGCACGCGTGGCTGCAGCCTGCAACAGCATTTGCTCTCGGAGGACCTCCTCCCAGGAGGTGCCACAGAAGACAAGAAGAGGACGATGAAAAGAATACACGACGTTTTAATTTGTCCGACAGCTTCCCACGGTGGAGGCGCGTCGCCCTTCTGATGCATCGACTCTCGACGAGTCGAACGTCGCGATCTCGTAACCGAGGGAAATCTTTCCCCTTTTCCCCGTTCTGTATTTTTCATATCCTCCCCATCGCTCGCCACGATACCCCCTGTCAGTCGGTTCAGAAGTCAGACATTTTAAAAATAAACTTCCCCAATAAATTCCCTTAGTCTCCGAACCGACGATAATGGATGCAGCTCACGATGGCGATGATATAGGAATGATATAGGGATGCACCGGGATGCACCCTCTACGTCGGTGTCACCAGTTGCATCCGAGCTCTCATCTGCGGTCCTGGCACCTCTTCTCGGTTGTTCCGTTCCGTTCAATTCTCCGAAAATCCTTGGTTCTCCGTTTTTTCATCCCCCGGGGCCAGGAGTCCGTGATTTCGAGTCCAAGGCTCCTCGTCCTGGATTTCCCTCCCACCAGGTCCTCATCAAGGCCAAGTACGAATTCCCGCGAGGAGACGCTCACCCGACAGCTTAGGTCCCGGGATGGAATTAATTAATTAATTAATTAATTGAAAATTGTGACGCGCAAGAATGCTCGAGAGGTGGGGACGTGAAATTTGAAACGCAGTCCCTCTCGCTTCCTTTCCGCTCCTCCTATTTTCATTTTTCACTTTAATGCTCCGGGAGATCCTTTATTTGCCGTTGGATATCCTCAACCTGTTGGGGGCGATATCTACCGCGCCCTTCGGGAGGCATGTATATATATGTATTAAATTAAATGGCGACGCCGGGAGCAGGGTCCTGGTCCTGAATTCATCAGCGCCTTGAAGAGGGCTCTTCAGCTGGTCATTATTTGCGGTAATGGAATGTATTAATATCAGACTCTATGCGGTGAAAAGGAAAGTTCCGAGGCGGCGCGACCTGTGGATGACACCCGAGAAAACTCCGCGTGTAAAACAATTTCGCACCCCATTCCCCCTTTACGGGGGTGCAATCCAGGTCCTGGGACCGGGACGACCAGCAATCTCCCAGGAACCACCGGGACCAGGACCTCTTTGCCTTTTTCTTCATCATCCGCGAGAGTGCGCGGTGCATCTTTCCACCGGGACGTCCTCCCCTTTTGCCCCCTTTTTCGTCCCATCCTCTGGAGCCAAAAGAGGCTGCGGAAGAGGGTCGTTATTAAATTAGAAAAAGGAATGACCAGGAAAGGACGTTCGCGGTCTCGCTCTCTAGACCTCATCAGCACTTGCCGGCCATTATTCCGCGTAATGGAATGTATTAATATCGAATCCTCCACCTGTATACCGCATCCAGGAATGCTCAGCTTGTAAGATAACTTCGCATCCAATTTCCCTTTATTGCAAGGATGCAACCGGGAGGTGGGACCGACCGCATCTCTTGGAGAACCGAGACCAAAATGGCGTGCTTTGCCCTTTCCTCCGCTTCGAATGGGATTTCCAAAAAACCTCTTTGCATCTCTTCAAGGGGACTCCCGTTTCCTTCCTACCTTCTCGAAAAGGTTCCCGAAGAAGGTCGTTATTAAATAAGGAAAAAGGCCAGGTCGAATTTCTCGGTACAGGGGACTGATCAGGACTGTAAGGATCATTCTGGTCGGTCATTGTCCAGGGTAATGCAATGTATTAACATCTGAGAGTACTGCCGGGAGATCCAGGGAATTTCTGGGCGATGGTCCATGGTGGTCCGTTTGGTCGGCGCCCGTTGGCGGCGTCCCTCGGGACTCGCTCGTAAACCGGGATACGCACTCGGTGCGTCCGTGCGTACTCGCTCCACGGGCCGACTCCGATGCTCGTCGCATTAATACGTAACCGGATAGAGTGCGCCCCTCGTCCCGCCATTTAATATTCATGTTACGGCCGAACGACGCGTTACGATTAATAAGCCGAGCACACGTCGCTCCCGGTCGGGCCGATCGAAGGAGTCGATGACGCCCCGCGAGATATCCATAGAAAATTATTATTTTCGGGATTCCCTGTACAATGTATATAAAAAATGTTCCCTGGAAAATTGTCTTACCGTGCCTGACGAGGACCCACGTTGCCGCTGTCGAAGCTGGAGGTGGCGTTGATGTCCCCATCCGGTATGGCCCCGGACTCCATGCCGAGCGGCGCGATGCATTGCGCTGGAACCCAAACCGACAACGAGGCGTTAGGGATTACTTCCTCGTGGAGGAGCCCGAGAAGGGATTTATGTGGAGGTGCTCCGATCATACGACTAAACAACCGTCTAGCCGAGATCGAACCGGAGCGATAATCCTTTCCCACCGCGTGAGGAGCGGCTACCTACAGAGAACCGGGACAAGAAGATCCCTGTTCACCAAGGGACGCGCGCAGCTGGACACGGGAACCGAAGATGTATTTATTAGTGCCTAGGAAGATGATAAGATGATATCGCCGGACGCACGTGGAAAGTCGACGCGAGTCCCGTTTTATGGAAGGACAAATTGCTGCGAGACGGGCTCTTCTCAGGCGTACCCTGAAGAAGAGCCCGAAAAGGATCCTGAAGAAGAAGCACGACTCGAACGTAACTCGCGTCCCTAAATACGTAATAAAGTGCAACCCGAGGAGGATCATTAATCCGTGCCCAGGGGAGATCATCGAGAGGGATGACGACACCCTGTCCCGTTTTTTAGCCTGGGTAGGAGCCGCCAGAATCTCGATAAGTCGTGATAAGTCGACCCCGGGGGGCTCGATTAGGATCAACCATCGTGGACCAATTTTCGAGGGATCTCCGACACGTCGAGAGTCGAAAAGTCTCGGAATTCGGGTTAAGTGTCACGTCTCTTCCAGTTAGGGTCACGTGCGACCTGGAGGAGAACTCCTGGATTTTTAGGAGAGGAACAGGCGCCTGGACGAGATCACTTCATCCTCGGGCTATCGTTCGCGTTGATCTAATTGTTCCTCGGGAGTGCGCAGCTGGCCGGGTCGTCCGGGTTAAAGAGGCCGAGTCTTTGGACGAAGTCTTTCGCCAATGGTGCGTCGAGCCGGTCAATGACGAGGTTAAGGCCCGTCGAACGAGAGCTGATGGTATCTACTTTGCATACGTTAAGGACTCCGGGAGACTCCTGAAGGCGTTTACTGTCTCTTGTCACGCGATCCTCCTGCGGCCCCCGATTCACGAATTCCGAAATTCTGGTCCAGCTCATCCTTCCCCGAATAACCTCAAATAGTGACGAGCAAACTCAGGAAAATAAGGCCTGATTTTTCTTCTCAGTGGACTCTCTACAGTGGATCTAACAACGCGTTCGACAGGTATCATCGCACATCGATCACCAGATCAGGTGTTCGGTATCACGTACCCAGTTTGCGAGTCGCATTCGGAGATTCCCTATCTCTTGGGTCCTGGGAGGAGAGATGTCGAGAAATTCGAGTCGATCGCAAAGTCCATCGGCGTCGATCGATCGATATCGGCCTGCGGCTATTATTATTAACGAAGGTACACGAGAGAGGTTCCCGACGTGTATATCGCTCCCGGGAGCTCTGGCGGCTCTCTTAACTCCCGGACCCTCGAAAAACGAGACCCTGTCGTTCCGGGCAGTTTTCTCGCCCCTTCGTGGCCGGACTCTTAAATCGATCCTCCGCATGCGATTCCGCGCCCTGGTGGGATGCTGGAGCAAATCCTCGGGGCAGGGCTGCACGACTTAAGACAATTACGGCGAAGCTGGACGCGGGGGGTGCGGCTAATCGAAGGAATGGAAACGTCTGGCCACCGTGAAGAAGGGAACGTCTCGGTGCTGGAGAGCCGAGAGATTTTTATCCGGGATTTTTATCGGAGACACTTTATCCGGGATTTTTATCAACCCGAATATTTCCGCCGCGTCCTTAACGAGCCGCAATCAAACTTCCTTCTGATTTTTCCGGCCTTCGAAAAAACTGTCCGGCGTGTCTGGAAACGCCGGGACGTTGAGCAAACTCGTTACGCCGCTTAACGGCGTTCGGATGGCTCGTTTAACGCCGCTAAACGGCGCCCTGCTGACTAAGGTGCTCCCCGGGCATGCAAATCGGCTCTTCGCGAAATAAAAGCCAGAGAGCACCTGCCGCTCTCCTGGGCTGGATCCTGGATGCCAGGATCCCGAGTTAACGGCATTGACGACTCCCGGATCGATACATTAACGGATTGCGCTAAAAAAGAGGGGAAGGTTGAGCGACTTCGTGATGCCTGTTAACGCTGTTTAACGGCGCTAAACGGCGCTAAACGGCGTCGCGCCGACTAAGGCACTCCGCCATGTAAATCGCGTCTTGCGAAATAAAAGGCGAGTAAAATAAAATACAAGGTGGAAGGAACTGCTCGCGTTAAAGCGGGAGATTCCGACAGGGGCTTAACGACTCCTACACAGGTGCACAAGTGGAGTGCATCGAGTGCACCGATTCTTGCAGGGAGCGTCAGTCATCGGCGCGGCTTTTTGCCGGCCTCGAGTCGGAGAAAAGAGAGAAAGGCTCGGCGATTTCACGCTCTCTTTCGGGACATTAATCGCTCTAATGGCGGGCACTTAATTAGCCGGCAGGTGAAGTGCGAAGCGCAATTAGCCGGAGCGTTTCTAATTTAGACAAATACTCGGCCGTCGTTCTCGATCGGCAGGAAACGGCGACCCCCCGGGGAAAACGAGACAGAGAGAGCCGGATCGAAGCGAGAGGCGCGCTCTTTGCAGACTATGCAAGGTATCGACTTGAAGTACACTTACAGAGGTCTATGGCGCTCGTCGTGGTGGCGAGACAGAGGATGAAGAGGAGGAAGAACAGGCTGAAGTGGGCGGCAGGTGGCGCCCTTCGGTAGGACCACCTAAAGGTCTCCACCATATCTCTCCCCTCGAGCCCCTCGCGCTCGCCCCCTCACCTGGAGTCCTGCCTCATGTCTGCCAGAGTCAACCTGGAACACGGAATGCCAAAAGCGATCTCTTTAAAATTGCGTTAATTAACGTAAAAAATGGTACAAATGAAATGAGACCAAGATTTTTAGAAGGAAATTGCAGAAATCGTGAAGGATCCGATCTCGGACCTCGAAGAGGCGGAACGACTGCGGCCGCTGGTGGATTTTCCTTCGGGATCGAAAGCTCCTTCCAGGGAAATAAGAGCCGCCTCGTTTAGGGGCGGCGTCGATGGAATTACTATAATACCGGTATCGCGATCTCTCCGACTAGAGAACGGCCACCTCCGGCCATTAAGTCCGGAGGATGCCAATCCCGAAGGAGGCGTCCGAGCGTGGAGGAATCGCCTCTCGGAATTAGCCATTACTCGTCGTTTATTCGTATTCCTCGAGCAAAGACGAGGAAAATATCCGGAAACGATGCCGGCTTCGCGCCACCGAATATGGCGGATTCCACGTGTCGGCTTCAGGTCTTGGCGAACGGAAGTCGCGGAGAATGGACGTCCTGGGGAACGGAAGTTTGGCTAGATATGCGATGAGGCATACGCGTCACGTAGAGATGAGACTAGCAGACCTGGTCCTCGTATTAAACCGACCGATACATTCGCGTGTATCCATCTGCATAAACTCATTTCTATGCAAATCGGGAGATTCGGCCTCGAACGTAGACTCCTCAAAGCTGGAAGCTTACGCCGAGCTTAAGTGCGCTAATACGTACATCGAGAATGCCGATAACTCGGTTTTCCTTCGCGGAATATTCCCAGGGGAGTTCGACGTCGCGCGTAAAGTCGGGATGAAACTGGGAAATAAGGGATCACCCCAGGGGAGGATTTTCCAAGTCCCGGCTTAACCGTAATTATTACTCAGGGGCGGAAAAAAATAATTTCAGTCTTCATAGTTCCCCGAGAGAAAATCATTAAAAATATGGACGCGTATGAGAGAAGGGAGATTCGTTAATTTATTAACAAGCACTTAACAATCAGTCGTTAGTGTGGCTTAAGTACGCGATAGGTGTTCATGCTCTTCATCAACCAGCCTGAACTACTCCTCTGAAAGCCCGCTCGCGCCGAAGAGCGATATTGCATTCATCAGGAATATCGATAACCGCGTTTCCTCTTCGCCTTTCCATCCGCGGAATAATTAAAGCTCACCCGGGTGTAATCGGTACTAATGTGCACACAGTCTGTCCGCGGTTTTCGGGGGCGTATTACGCGTCTTCGGTATCGATTAGAGTTAACTGGAATATTAGGGAGGGACGAGATAGATTTTTGGACGATCGAGTCGTCGACCTGATATTTCGACGAGGAATCCCACCGAAGGGTCGAATCGTGGCAAATTCCGGCGAGGGAAAGCCGCGACATTTGCAGCGACATTTCCCGCTGCGTTGGTTCTCTTCAGCTAGTCGATCGAGCTTATAGGTCGACCCAGAGACGTCCCTGGTGTCTTCGATTCCACCACGAAGAGGCCTATGACCGCGCAACTTTTTGCACGTGTCGCCATTATTTATTCACCCGAGTTGCAATTATTGGGTGCACGTTCCACGGTGTAAAGTCACGAGACGAGTAATTTGCCTCTACCTTCTTCAGGGCGGAGGCAGACCACTGACGTGTGCCAATCGAGTCTCAGGGCTCAACGGGGAGGGACGCTTGTTATTAGGTGCACCTTTCAATTAGAGAAGAATTTCACAAAGCGGATCGCCGTTTCATTTTTCAGGCGGCTGGGAGGGAAACGAGGTTAAAAATTTACACATCGCCCGTAATCGAGGGCAGCGTTTCCACGTCCAAAGTTCCCTGGAAGTCCTGGCGGATGTTTTATTAAACCGTCCCGCGGGATCAGCCAGGGTCCTGGCAGGCTCGTGGCAGGCCGCGAGCCGTCATCTTTAATAATTACTAACTGGCGAAGTAACTCGCACGTACCGAACGTCCGCCATGTTCGTTAATATTCATGAACCCCCAACGGCGGCTGGTCACCATCTCGAAGAGGGATCGGCACGCGCGCGCTCGCCGGAAGTCGACTCCGATTTTCTGGCCAGAGTCCTTCGGGATAAATAATCCTAGCCGATGACGACTCCTCAAGGTCCCTCGAAAGTATTGACGGATATCACGTCAAGGGACTAAATTAAAACGCGATTTCATTCGCGAGACTTCATTCTCGGGAGTCGAGTAAAGACCTTTCTCGCGAAGGACCATGTTTTCGGGGGGCCTCGAGAACACTTTCGGCCCGGCCTGATGGCAAGGAATAAGCGAAGGATTCCCCGGTGTTTGCGAATCGATCCCGCCGTTATCCTGGAGCTGTGTAGGAAGGCACGTATAGCCGTGTCTCGAAATCCAGCGCGTCGCGCGATTTCCCGCGGGGTGTTCCTGGTTAGTCCTTACGCCGCCACCTCGAGAATCCTTTCCAAGGAGGTCGCGAGTCTCGGAATTCCTCGAAACGAGCTCCCTTTAAGCGAAAGGACACGAGCTCTTTTCGGCGAAACTGGAACCCGGGGGCACCCGAGCCCTAACCCCTCGCCGTATGCAAAACGCACCGTGTACGCCGCGCGGAACAATGGACTATTACTTTTTACAAATGCACCGCGTTACTCATAACGCGATGCATAGATTCAGGATAACGTTGAATAATCGCCGACCGTCATGTGCGGCAATAATGTCCCGTGGGAAGTCGAGCCATGGTATTCGACGTCCATGTTGGGCCCACGAGGATCTTCCTCCAGGGTCGAGTCAAGTGGATTAAGAGTCCTGTTTGAGAAATTCTTCGACCTACGCAAAGGACTCCTTTCCAAGCTACCCAGACACCTGCTGATTCAACAAAAATATCAGAAAATAAAAATCCAACCCGTCCGAACAAATCGTCACAATTCCGGAGAAACGTTGCGTTCAATTTATTCCAGGTAAATAATTCAATTCTTTGAATAACATGAATATTTCTTTGGCACTATTTCCGGAAATATTTCTCTGGTTCGATGCAATTTGACTTTCTCAATTCCTAAAAATTCAGAGAAAAATTCTCGTTTTACTTTTCGTCAGGTTTCGAGGTAGTTGCTCGGTTCCAGGGACCCGGTCACAGTGGAGGGGCTCTTAAATCGAGATGATTCATTCGAGGATTGGGTCTTAAAACAGGTGAGAGGCCGAGCTAGGTGTACGGTCGACTTTGTCGGACTTTCCTAGGGAACGAGCGTTTAGTTTGATCGATCGGCGAGTAAGGACCCACTCGGGCCGGGCGTAACGCGGGGACCAAAGTAAAAGGAGCGGAGAACGGAGTTTCCGCCGTCGAGGAATTTCGACGGGAGTTTAAATTGTCATAAAGGGTTAGGTCGGCGCGAGGTGGACGGTCGCGGGGTTTATCGGCGACGGTAAAAGGCGCCTTCGACGAGAAGTAAGTCGTTCGAGGCCGTTTCGGACGTGCAGGCGTCGCTCAGTTTTACGGCGGCACGTGTACCCGGGTCTCGGGTACATTGGTCTCGAGACGGAGGCTTTTGAGCGAATGCGAGAAGGCCTCCATTGCGAGGTGGTTGGGCACAAGGGGGAAAACGATGGACTTCGAGTTGATCAGCTCCCAAAGTGCCGAGGAACATAAGAAACCTTCTAAAAAGCCGGGAAAACTCCTGGCCCGGAAGAGAAGTCCTGGTACAAAAAATATAAGAAAGAAGGATCTCGTGCCAAAAGCGCGGAAAGAAAATTCTAAAGATTCAAGGTGTTTGAAAAAGTCCCACAATTTTTGACAATACTCCAGTGGATCCCTGAAATTAGAAAAGGTAAAAGAAAAAAAAAATACAAATACGTTGAAAGGACGTTCTAATAAAGTCCCGGGAATTTTGACGGTATTCCGTAGGATAAAAGCCTGGTCAAGAAGTACGGTTGAAGTAGCCCAGCCAAGGAGTAATTAAAAACGACCCTGGACCGCAGCATCCGAGAATCTGGATCCTCTGGTCCTCGCTGTAGCCACATAAAAATTCCCTTTCCTCGGTTCCCCGGTTTTAATAAAATAATGGAGGCGAGGAATTCCTCGGAGCAATCTCTTAAAGCGCCGTTGCCTCGGTCCTCTTCCAGGTGGACTTCGAGTTTCCTGGACTCTGAAGAGTTCCCAAGATCGGGCAACTACTCGGATGAGACGGAACGATCAGGCTTCAGCTCTCAGGGAAGTGTTTCGCCCTGTCTTTGGACTTTCTCGGTCGTTTAGGATTTTAATAAAATAATACTGTCAAGGGACTCGAAGGACGTCGTATCCTGGAACGAGATTTTGACTGAAGAATTCAGAGGCATCTTGGAACGATGGAATTTTAAAGCGCTTCGGGCCCAGAATGAGCGGCTTATTCGAGTCTGCCGGATTTCAATGTAAAGTTACGACGCACTCGCAACTGCTCGGGAATACTTATAAACTTTCGGGGAATTATACGGGAAGAACGGTGTCGTAGAAGGTGCGCTAGAAAGAGGCCTTTCCGGGATCCCGCCGAAAGTGCCGGACGAAACTGGCTTCGACTCGGCAAATTCGCGAAACTTTGACCCAGATTTCCGAGCGCGAGAGAGAGCTCGACTGCTGCCTACTAATGAGACCGGTGGAGACACCCTTAAACGTCTGTTTGTCCGAGTACCGACTGGCATTACCATCTTCAAGGCCCACTCTTGCAAAACGGCGCGCCCAAGGAGCAGGAAAAATGGCGGCCTGCCCGGGGAAGGATAATTTATTTCCCTCTCTTCCGGGTGGAAACTCGAATCGAGGAGGCCGGAAGTGATTTCCCGTGATGCGGCATTTGCGAGATATTTCGAAATTTGCGAGGGTTTCCGGCATGCGCAAGATTTCAAGGGAGAATAATTATCGCCTCCGAAGCACCACTCCGTCACCGACTTCACCATCGTTCGTTTTCTACACCTCGACTCGACTCGTCCCGTCATCCCCTTTATTTATGCAATTTGAGGACCTGTCCAAGACTAAACGTCGGGAGGTCCCGAGTCATTGTACTCCATGTCTAAGAAAAGTGACGTCCGATGACTTGACACCTTCGC